CACTGCTTTCACTTGCCCAAGTTTTTTTCCTTAAACTGTCCTTTCATTCTATCGTATTGTGTATGACAGCATGCATGATTATGCCTGAGCTCTTTTATCTTGTTAGAATGTACTATATTATATTCAGCCAGGTTTCTATGTTCTGCTAACCTAATTGACCCTGGTCGACTAGTTTGACCTGTATATTTGAGCTCATAGTGATTAGATGAAGTTTGGTAGACTAAATTGTTTTGCTAAGTATGTTCAGTAGGACTCGTTAGCTGAGAAGTTTGTTTTGAAGTGAGTTTATAGTTTTAAATACCAATCTAATCATGGCCATATGAAGAATCCTAAGTAGCGCTTCTCATGTCATTTCTTCATATGGAAAAGTATTAAGATCTTATAATCCTTCTATGAGGGTCCATTGTTAATACTGTTTATGTCTGCAGTTACATTGTTCGTAATATTTTTCGTACTACTCCTTATATGTTCCGGATGAACTGACGTAAGGCAAGGGAGGAGTAATTGCTGATTAATAATACATCTTCTATATGTTTTATTTCTTGACTTACTTTTTACCTTACTAGTCAATCTCCGCACCCTGTTACTCAGGTACTTAACCAATCCTGACCTTACTCTAAGTTCCTCGTAGAGTGGGAAAGCGTTTTGTGGACACTAGTCTTTAAGCCTTGCCTTTTTGATTTTCCAGACCAACGTAGCCAGGTTCTCCTTCGTCATTCATGTATGAAATGGATGGTGCCAACCTTTGAGTTGATGTCAGCTAGTAGTATGTACTTAAAAAATATAGACGGGAATGGGATCATGCTTATCAATGAATTAACAGTACCTATTCAGTTGAGAGACAAGCCATCTCACTGCTAATTTTAGAGAATTACAGCTGATATGTTAACGATTTTCCAACTTTTGGTGTTTTCCCAGCTCTGAAATGTTTAAATTGTCAAGGCACTTGCAACCTGAGTTGCAATGTTGACAATAATGTCGATGAAGCCTTACTGTATGTCCTGTAGAACTCAGTTTGCTGAGACAACCACAGTTGGGCAGCAATTCATTTGCATTAGTTAGCGTCGAGTTTTTATTCTCTAGGACTTTAACTACTTACAAGTAGTATGTATTGACATACGATATTTTATGCCAATTTCTTTTAGTTTTTCCTCCTGTTTTTCTGGCACCCTAGAATCTCAAACACACAGCATCTAATATAACACATTTTAAAAGCTTACTCACAGTTGAGCAGTAATACCAGATTTTAAAATAGCAGGTGCGACTCCCAATTTCCAAGTCCGTATTCTATCCGTACAAAAGGAGTTCGGTTTCACACTACTTAACAAACAGAATTAATCATTTGTTTTATCTGTGCTGTTTTTGAAACCGAATCTCTAACGTGTTTTAATTTTGATGCCATTAAGTTCTTTATTTTCTCTCACTTAGTAGACCTATTAGTGACTTAATTGATCAGACATATTTTCTAACACGGAATCAGCCATTCGCTTTCTTCTTCACGCTATATTTATTAGTTATATTAGAAAGTCAACAATGTTTTTACAAACTCTTTTTTAATTTTGGTGTGTAGGTAGACGGAATACGCTAGAATGCTATAAACACTTGTCATGAGATGGCAGTGCAGATTTCAGGTACCTAGTGCTTGTCGAAGTCTATCGATCAAGTTTGTAGTGTCACCACTAGGGTTGTTGACAGGACACTGAAGTGGTGCATTATGTTCTCGTTCGAGCTGTCAGGAGTTAATTGATAGAAAGCCCTAACTGGACGTAGATTAAAGCAATTAGTTAAGATGTTCTGAAACTTCCACTTATAGGCAACATGCTCTGTTTAGTTATTCATAAGCAGGATATATAGGGTGATTATGATACATGGTTGGAAGCTAGTTATGTGGACACAAATAAATAAATTCGCTGTTAATTTAATTTTATATATTTTCTTATCCAAGCACTAGTTGCCAAAGTTCAATAGCGTGCATGAATCTCAGGAGGTCATTATCATGATGCAGCAAAGTTATTCTGTGATAAATGCTATCAGTAGTAGTGATGCGTCTCCTGAGGGAAATTTACTCAGATAATCTAGAAAGAAGCCAATGAGACAAAATCTGATCAAAACAACTTTTGAAATCATCAGGTTAATCGTTGATATCTGCTTTATGCATAAACATCAGTTCCTATGTGGAAAAATTAGCTATTCATAAAGTCACATAATTACAATAACCAAAGCTAAGATGTGACCTGCTCATATTAAGAAAAAAAGGAATGTCCCATATCGACTATATGTTGCGAAATAGGTGGGTTGATTGATCTTCTCTGGCCTTAATTCATCCATAGTGGGAGACGTTCCTGAATACAGCCAAGGATAGGCCTAGACGAACTTTTATAGTTGATTTCTATCAACCAGAGGGCGTAATCTCATTCGCTTCCTGTTTTCAGAATACCATAGAATTGGTTCTGTAGATTGTGTCGATTAAAAAATAAGTTTCTTGAACTCCACCATTACATTTCACTCAGGAAAATATGAAACATAAGAAAACCTTAAAATCATCAGCACTATTTCGAAGAGGGCATTGTTCTTGAATTTAGTATTTACAGGAGATATTGCTGACGATATCCTGGAAAAATATCCATAAACATTGAATCGTAGGCTGTTTCGTGCAGCAAACCTTGAAATAACGAATGACAGTCGCCGTTTAATAAACCCTACTATGAAGAAAAAATTGCCTATACTAATATGCGCTTACCTATCTGTGTTTATTAAATCCTACTTTCCTAAGCACAAAAATGAATACACATGTCCCTTAACCCTTTTCTGTATTGTAATCTTCGGTCTATCAAATTCTTCCATTTTTGTACCACTTGACCTATGGTTTATATTTATTACACTGTCGTTGTTTATCCTATTCTGCATTCACACTTCGCTACATTTTATTTCTTCTCCATTTATGGTAGATTTTAATTGTATAAATTTCATCAGTGAGGTGAATAGAATTACTGCTAACCTTTTATCACAATTGATGATCAACATTATAAAATTCACTGTGTTTCATAATCATTTACTTTGATCAACTTTGATTTCAAAGACGCTTGATTTTGACTATCTTGTATCATACAAGATGTATAATCACTAACATACTTAGTAGTGGGTGATAATTGAAGGTGAAATGAAAATTTGGATCAGTGTAGGACTCGAACCAACTGCCGAATTACTGGTCCGGTGCTCAACTAACTGAGCTACGAGACCGAGTTGCTGATCAGATGATGGTTTCACTTCTGTCACCTAGGATGTTTGCCTCCTATGTGAATTTGTGAGGCATAATTAATCGTTCAGTGTATACACGGTGGCTACCCAACCAGGACTTCTCATCCCAATCAGAATCGAGATGAATTAAAGAGGGGAAGCTTCATATTGATTATCAACTTAACTTGCATAATTGGTTATTTTGAACTGAATACCTGTAATATTTGGCGACGTGACTCATTAGGGTTAAGCAATCGAGTTTCAAGCAGTGGGTTTCTAATTCACACTTCTCTCCACCTACTTCGGATGGGATGACTGAATAGTATCCTAACCCATAACACAACTAGTGTGGCTTATAACCTACTACACAAACCCATGGCATATTGAGGTACATTATTATTATCATTATTAATTATGGATTGTTTTATTGGATTTTTCATAATTCTTTCCTGAAGGGAATCCTTGGACTACCTGTTGCTAAAGATTGATTGTCATATAAAATGTCATTGTTGTCAACACTCGTTCTTCAGCAATGGAGTTATAGGACGTGGGAAAGTTTTTAGGAAGAATATTCTTTCTTTCTTTAGGTCTAATGACTGTTAGCGTAATGTACATTGATTGGAAATGCTGGGAAACTGTCATTTAGTGTTCAATTGAGCGAATGATGGATGGTTTATTCAAGTATAGTTGTGATCTGATATCACTTGGAGAGCCACTGGACATCAGAAAACCGTAACGTTTTCTTGTCTTGATGTAGAATATCTCAGCAGCACATATTTTCAACTTGTACACTATATCAAGTTTGTGGAATATCAGTCGCAGTCGAGATTAATAGGAATGTCAGGTGTTTGTGATGCAAACTGTCTTCACGTCTCTTATCTTTTTGTAGACATTATCAGCTATATACTTACCTGTTAAACTCGTTACATTGTTGTGTTTTCTCTTGGTTTGAGATACAGGATATATTAGTGAATGTTAGGCTGTACAGTACCGAACATCAAGATTCAGTCACTGAGAAGATGAGAAATTAAACGTAACACTTGTTGTTACTTTTATTTTTCACGGTTAAATCTTATCATGTCTGTATCAGTTTGTAAATGATTTTCAATTTTTTTTCCAACTGCTCATCTGTGTTGCTCATGAGAGTCACCTAACCAAATTCAGTTGGTCTGAACTAACACTGGTCTATTAGCTGAATTTTTCCGGGTACACTGCTGATGAGCTCAGGTGTAAACAAGTGAAACGGCCGTCTGGTGTTTAAATCACTCTCATCTGACTGTCTGTTGAAATCTACAGATCAGCCTGAATTGTGTCCAACTACTCAAGTCGTTTAATAGTAGTATATTTCGCAAGCATTTTTGAATTAAGGGATTTTTTTTCTCTTTCTTCCTGATACATACAGCTAATGGCAACTTCATTTATTGTATAAATTGAATTGTAACTTTTTTTGGCGTCATCACTGAAAATAGAGATACTTATTGGTTATATAGAGAGTTCGATTTTCATATGGAGGTGGGTGGACGGATAGGCAAAAATTAGCCAAAGACAAGAGGTAATTGCCTCATTTTTTTTTCTTATCTCCTATCGTTCATCATTCTTTTCTTTATTCCTTCTCTAAAATATATTTTTTCTAATGTTTACGATACAGTTTTTGTTTAAACATCTGAAACGATTGAGATGCACAACATTGTGTCGCTTGTTTAATAAACATTTATTCTCATCTTTTTTTCTCCTTTCTGTTGTTTTTTTCCTTCAATCTTTAGCATTTTAGAATATGACAATGTTGCTGTACTCCAAGCCCAGTTGGATGAGTTAGCCAGTCGTGATTTGATACAACCAATTCGATTGGAAGGTCAACATGCTGGTCAGTTTGGTTATCGAAGAAAAATTCACTTACAGAATCATGGTAAATTCATCCATTCAGATTGCTGTTATTATTATTTTTTTTCGAAAAATTTATTTATTCAAAGACAATGTTACTCTTTTCGTTTTCTATAGGTCAGTGGTGATAAGAGAAAAGCCTGTACGCCGAACAGTGTCCGATATTTTATTTAGTGCATACTGACCTTCAGTATATAGTATATTCCATACTGTTAACTTTTTTTTGCATTTTTAATTGCTAATTCAACCGTACAATGGTTCAGGTAAACACACGTGACACGAATCTTGAGCAGATATGAGAAATGTTACACTTTTAATGCTGGTTATTCTTTCAAAAGGTTTGTAGTAATAGTAAAATAAAAAAATGAAAAAGTTCTTGTTGGTAAGAATATATTCACAGTAGGAAGGTGGCTAAGAATGCTTTTATTTCTCTGCATTCGCTTAATCACTACAAATTCTCGGAAAGTGAAGCAAGTTATTTCGAGTGGAGCAGAAATGAAAAAGCGACGTAAAACAGTTACTTCTACTAGTGGATGCCATTGACTATTCATCTTCACCTGAACCGCGTTATGCCATGTTTCAACACTTACTTTAACCTCTTTTCTTTCTACACCTACTGTTTGCATTATTTTTATTATTTATCTTCATTTCTGCTTTTTTTGCCTTTATTATCCTGCTGTAGTGTGGCATCCTGGACCATTGCGCACGAATGATAACTTTCATGTTCATGTTGATTAGCTGATTGACACAGAGTTTATGAATTGTATACATTCTTCATTTGTGCATTACTTAAGATCATTCGGAATCATCAGATGTGTTAATTTGAAACTGAATTCTCTCAGACATCACGTGCATTATGATGCATGAATTATTCAACTATATGCTTTGTTTTAGGACCGACGATGATAGAGCTGTAGCCTATTGGTCTAGGTAATTAATTACAGGGTAACACGTTTGAACCTTGCCCCACCTACCTATGCTTGAACAACCAGCTGGTATAATTAGCCATCATACAGTAGCTGTAGCTCATTTCCTATTGGACGAATGTACTCAGTGTTGTTGAGTGCATTTAGTAACAATACCATTTGCGTGTCCAATCTTGGTAGGTGAATCGGAGTTTGAACTCATGAACTTTTAGTTTACAGTCAACTTCGTAAATCGATGAATCATAGTTCCATTTTTGAGTTGATTCCTTTTAACAACAATTATAATTTTAATAGAGATCCTGCAGTTAGTGTTTATACTTCATAAGTTAACATTATGTTACACAGACATAGATCCATATATAATGTAGCTCAGAAATACACTAGTTCGTTTTGATTAGGCTGTGTTCTCTGAGCAGGATTGTTTAATCGTAAAGCTTCCGTCATCATTCTGCACAACATCATCAGCGACAAACCTTCTTCAATACAATCAGTAGCTTTTCCTGGTAATCTTGTGTGTGATTGGTTGTTTATGTCAAGGTCTTGTCATTGCCTCTGTGTTTGAGTTGATTGGCTGACCTGAAATTCGACCTTCTTGTTATTTCTTATTGGTTGATAGATTGGGCCAGTGTCAATATATCAGTTGATTGACCTGAATACCAAACTTTTAAAAATCCCCCGTATTCCCTCTACGCAAGATTTTCACATTCTCTCAGTCAAATTCATGTCCACAGTTGTCTGTGTGCATTGATATGAGCGAAGATATGTCATGATGCTTCACTGGTAGTTGATGTTCATATAGACGAATGTGAAGAGACCGACCACTCTTTTCGATACAGTGTTTTCACAGTTTCTTATGTAGATGATGTTCGGTTTGTCTTCCATTGCTGTTGTATCTTGTGGTCTGCATAACAGAGACTGAAGAGATTTTGTGGGCTTGTGAGATAAAGCGATTCTGAAAGGCTTCAATAATTTAGTCGTGATGTAGGAGGCGTTCTTCAGCTAGGGTAGGAAAGTCTGTTTGTTGGTTTTCGACTTAGATTCGTTGGCTGACGACGAGTTTTGTAAATATCTTTTGATGTGATTGCATGGATGGTCATTTTTCTGGAAAGCAGTCATAATATCGTTTTTTTTCTCGTCACAGTGTTGATGTACTACAGTCTGTTTCCACGCTTTTGAACAATGCTCTTATACAACTGATTTTGTGTACTATTGAGTTGTTGCTATTGTAGCTGAGGATTTGATCCGTAAGAGTTAGTTTTCTGTATACTTCAGTTTCCAACTTCCCCGAATCTGTCTTAGTGATCAGAACTTCTAAAAATGCAAGTTCATTATTGGATTCTTCTTCAATTGTGAATTTGATGTCATTTAAAATGTTGATTCACTTGTAAGCGTTTTTCAATTCGTTTCATTTTATGATGAAAAACGTATCATTAACATAGCGGATCCAAAGTTTTGGATCCATCAAGATTGAACATTGTTGTTCCGATAGGTGTGTTCTATTCAAATTCATGTCCACAGTTGTCTGTGTGCATTGATATGAGTGAAGATATGTCATGATGCTTCACTGGTAGTTGATGTTCATATAGACGAATGTGAAGAGACCGACCACTCTTTTCGATACAGTGTTTTCACAGTTTCTTATGTAGATGATGTTCGGTTTGTCTTCCATTGCTGTTGTATCTTGTGGTCTGCATAACAGAGACTGAAGAGATTTTGTGGGCTTGTGAGATAAAGCGATTCTGAAAGGCTTCAATAATTTAGTCGTGATGTAGGAGGCGTTCTTCAGCTAGGGTAGGAAAGTCTGTTTGTTGGTTTTCGACTTAGATTCGTTGGCTGACGACGAGTTTTGTAAATATCTTTTGATGTGATTGCATGGATGGTCATTTTTCTGGAAAGCAGTCATAATATCGTTTTTTTTCTCGTCACAGTGTTGATGTACTACAGTCTGTTTCCACGCTTTTGAACAATGCTCTTATACAACTGATTTTGTGTACTATTGAGTTGTTGCTATTGTAGCTGAGGATTTGATCCGTAAGAGTTAGTTTTCTGTATACTTCAGTTTCCAACTTCCCGAATCTGTCTTAGTGATCAGAACTTCTAAAAATGCAAGTTCATTATTGGATTCTTCTTCAATTGTGAATTTGATGTCATTTAAAATGTTGATTCACTTGTAAGCGTTTTTCAATTCGTTTCATTTTATGATGAAAAACGTATCATTAACATAGCGGATCCAAAGTTTTGGATCCATCAAGATTGAACATTGTTGTTCCGATAGGTGTGTTCTATTCAAATTCATGTCCACAGTTGTCTGTGTGCATTGATATGAGTGAAGATATGTCATGATGCTTCACTGGTAGTTGATGTTCATATAGACGAATGTGAAGAGACCGACCACTCTTTTCGATACAGTGTTTTTCACAGTTTCTTATGTAGATGATGTTCGGTTTGTCTTCCATTGCTGTTGTATCTTGTGGTCTGCATAACAGAGACTGAAGAGATTTTGTGGGCTTGTGAGATAAAGCGATTCTGAAAGGCTTCAATAATTTAGTCGTGATGTAGGAGGCGTTCTTCAGCTAGGGTAGGAAAGTCTGTTTGTTGGTTTTCGACTTAGATTCGTTGGTTGACGACGGATGATTCTGTTAGGATCATGCAACCACTCTATCAACTGTTCGACACAATTTTCGGAAAAGATCATGCATATTCATACTGACAACGACGAACTGGTGTCTTTTGACATTACAGCTCTATACACTTCAAGTGAACGAAAACTGGCTATGGATACAATAACTCTTGTCCCCAACAATAGAACACACCTATCGGAACAACAATGTTCAATCTTGATGGATCCAAAACTTTGGATCCGCTATGTTAATGATACGTTTTTCATCATAAAATGAAACGAATTGAAAAACGCTTACAAGTGAATCAACATTTTAAATGACATCAAATTCACAATTGAAGAAGAATCCAATAATGAACTTGCATTTTTAGAAGTTCTGATCACTAAGACAGATTCGGGGAAGTTGGAAACTGAAGTATACAGAAAACTAACTCTTACGGATCAAATCCTCAGCTACAATAGCAACAACTCAATAGTACACAAAATCAGTTGTATAAGAGCATTGTTCAAAAGCGTGGAAACAGACTGTAGTACATCAACACTGTGACGAGAAAAAAAACGATATTATGACTGCTTTCCAGAAAAATGACCATCCATGCAATCACATCAAAAGATATTTACAAAACTCGTCGTCAGCCAACGAATCTAAGTCGAAAACCAACAAACAGACTTTCCTACCCTAGCTGAAGAACGCCTCCTACATCACGACTAAATTATTGAAGCCTTTCAGAATCGCTTTATCTCACAAGCCCACAAAATCTCTTCAGTCTCTGTTATGCAGACCACAAGATACAACAGCAATGGAAGACAAACCGAACATCATCTACATAAGAAACTGTGAAAAACACTGTATCGAAAAGAGTGGTCGGTCTCTTCACATTCGTCTATATGAACATCAACTACCAGTGAAGCATCATGACATATCTTCGCTCATATCAATGCACACAGACAACTGTGGACATGAATTTGACTGAGAGAATGTGAAAATCTTGCGTAGAGGGAATACGGGGGATTTTTAAAAGTTTGGTATTCAGGTCAATCAACTGATATATTGACATTGGCCCAATCTATCAACCAATAAGAAATAACAAGAAGGTCGAATTTCAGGTCAGCCAATGAAATCAAACACAGAGGCAATGACAAGACCTTGACATAAACAACCAATCACATACAAGGTTATCAGGACGAGACACTAAATAAATTGTGGCTGAAACCTTGTCGCTCACTTCTTTCTGAATTCTGTGCTGATGATATTGTTTAGAATCACAAAGAAAGCTCCACAATATAATGATCCTGCTCAGAGAAGACACCAACGTCAAAATTATCCTTCTTAGCTACAAATATACTTCAGCATGCTACCAAAAATATAATTGTTGCATAATGAATAGTGAATTTGTTAGATGAAAATATAATTGTATCAGACATTTTTTGCAGAAAACTGTCCGCCAAAGTAGTGATACAGCATCATCAATACTAGTGGGATAGCAGCGTATTAACCAAGACAGTCGACTTTGAACCTGGTGGACGATCAATATAGGAGTAAAACTTGAGGACTGTAGTAGATTGTAACTCCATTTTAGTCTGTTTATTAGAGGTGTCACACAGCAAAACAGTATCATTAACCGAATAACGTTTCGGACATAATTTATTGTCTATAATCATGTAGGGTAACTCCACAACTTTGCCACATAGTTCATATAGTTCTAATCCTCTCTCCTTCTTTGTGACAAGGGTAGTAGAATTTTCCGTACATCTGGAGTAGGTGTTGAATTATTCTTACTACATATATTAACTATTAATTCGATAAACAAAGATTCGGTTATCAATTTCCTTCTCCACTCAACTAGTGGATCATCATAGATTCAAGCGTCATTGCACCTACTGAGGTTTTCAGCATTCAAGTAATACTATCAACTGTGACACACTAGGTGAGATACATCGTTCAATGCGTGAACCTGCACACTCTTTCTATGTTACACAGTAAAACATGATGAAGCTGCTTATACAGCATTAACCTTCGATGTTTAGTGTCAACTATGGTTCGTACTGTGTTGGGCATCCTTCTGTCACATCACAATTGTATTTCTATCATGAATTTGTCAATACTTTAGCTGTCTATAATTGTTTATACTGTTCAAAATTCAGTAAATTCATCCATTTGATTGTATTTTCAGCTAAATTCCACATTCCATGCAGTGAATGACAATTACGAAACCTCAGCTTAGTCTACTTATAAAAAAGTCCGTTTTACAAAATAACGTACTATTTTTCAGTGTATATTTTCTTCTACTTACTTTTGTACTCCCATGCTCGTTATCACTGAGTTCTAGTAAGCGCTGCTTTTGAAATATCCTCAAATGTTAGTGAAGTTAATTAACATTTTTAGCATGAAAGAGTATGCATTCATCATGCCTTTTTTTGGTGACCTATTAGGCCAATTGATATCTATTTTTATTGCCTTGCCTCAAGATCAACAATTTCAAGATATCATGCGTTTACGTGCAACACTAATTATTGGTTATTATAAATATTAAACACAAATTCAATACAGTTATTATTGAGTTCACCTTATGGCTTATTTGCTGTTAGACTTTATGATCGATTGTAGTGCATCTATGCATGTGTGATTATGAAAATGGCTTTAGTGTCAAGGTTGATTTATTACTAATGTAGTCTGATCTACGCATAATAATCCATATAAGTAGTAATATATATATATATATGGCCACGTCGAAAGTGATAAAGATCAACCGATGAGAAGTCGGTCAAGAAGAATACACGTTATTGGATAGATATATAAAGAGTGAAAATAGTGCGGAATGAGAGTCGACAGAACAAGAGATTGTTTGCAAATGAATACCATATTGGAATGGTTTAGTTTTTGTTTTATCAGTTGTATTTTCATAATAAAAAAAACCTCAGCGGCTTCATTAAACTTCTGTTCACTGATGTCACTGCCCAACTTCAAGTTAAAGGTATCTTCACCTGCGAATTTCGAGGTGTGCGAACGTTCTTGAAGGAACTCGTTGTGAAGTTATTGAGTGTCTAGAAATTGGAGCAGAAGCTGGTGGTGTTTGGGACCCCTCTGTTGGGCTGGGTGAAGACGCTCTAGGAGACAGCAGATAGTCAGGTGAAGTATATCAGGGAGACTGACGTTCGGGAGATTCTAAAGGCTTGGCTGTTTGCGGAGTTTGGTGACTCAGCAGATAAAATGCCGACTATAACAGAAGATAACAGGGATGCACACCTAAGTTGACAGGATAGATGTATGCTTGTTTTGCGGGAGGATGGTGCACTGATAAAGAAACTTCTGTAATTTTCGAGAACGTAGGCGTTATAAAAAGTGTGATACGCATTCCTGCTTACGATTAAGAATATAGGTTAGTAGTAGTAGGTGCGATGTTCGCTACAGTGTGAGTAAATATCTAGGGGCTGATTTCTTTATTCGATACAGCTGTATCAGTCTCACTGGTAGGTGATAGAGCAGGAGCAACACTGCAGCATAAAGCTTTGCATAGTGCCAACTCAAATCGTAAGTGGATATGTATTGATAGTTGAAAGTATATGCGGTTGTTTTGTTGAAACTATAAAATAATCATGTAAAATCATTTTGTGACTAGGCGGAATTTGGGATTAGATAAAGTTGTATAAATTTTTTTAAAATGTAACGCGACAGCCTTATGAAAGTGTATGCACTGAGCAATAAACTTCACCTATTGTGTGAGAGGCATGATAATACTACTCCATTTCTAAAACTTCAGTAGTTGAAGTGGTGATTGACTAGTTGACCCACTGATTGATTATGGAAATATTCCATTTCATTTGATTTATTGGATGTATCGCATAATGAAATTATGATTTACTGTGTGATACACCTAAAAAATGAAATAAAATTTAATCACATTCTACCCTAGTGCCCATGTTAAACTTATATGTTATCAAACTATTGTACCACATAGATAAACTGCTTTTTTTCATTAAAAAGAGCTGAGATCAATTTTTACTTTTCGTTATGATCATTATAGCAATGCACCTTCTCTTTATTTCACTAATTCATATTCACCATCTTTTTTTCTCTCAATACTGTTGTCAAGTAAAATGAGTGCAGTACTATGTGTGTAAATCATTGTTATTGTCAGCCTTATTTGTAGATTGATAACTTTAATGTGTATACCTTAAACGATATCAAAGGCCTATTCAATTATTTTATACAATTTTTTTTTTCACTTCTTCAGTTGTAAGAGAAATGAAAGGAGCAAATCATATGCAACAAGTATCTACTAGTGAAAAACCGACAATTGCAATTATCACTAATTTACTGTGTGAAAAGTTAGCTGTAGATGCGATGATGGAACAGAAAACAACATTTGTTCGTTATAAAACTGAAGGTAATTCATATTGGTACTTTTTTTTTTCTACACAGTTCTTCCTTTACCTTGTCTTTTTTCTAATAAGAGTACAACTTGACGTGCCGGGGGCAGTAACCCTGAGAGTTGCGTAGTTTGAGTCCCTTCAGTGACCAAAGTTTTCATTTCTCTTTCAATCATTATCGTGTATCAAGGATACTAGTTTGCCATACCTTACCTACCTCAGATAGTCGCACTAGTATACATTTCTTTACACTAAATGATGAATCACACTTATTAAATGGATACTATCTGGGCCTCTTTCCTATTTCTTAACAGTCGAGTATCTAGTTCACTTAATAATACTACTTCTATGATTTGTTTAGGCTAAAATTTAACAGCAATACGATTATGCAGTCACTATACATGATTTCCACTTTTTCTTTTTCAGGAGAATCGCATGTTTATACCATTGGAAGTATAGGACCGCATAAAGTAATTTCTACTAAATTACCTATGGTTGGACGTGAACTTCAAGCGAAAATCTCCTCTGGAAGTATTACAACACGATTACTTGGTTAGTGTATTCATCAGTATTATTGTTTTCGTCTGTAGCCATGTGTTTAATTAATAGCGTTTTTCTGACTGCTGGTCGATTTATATGACACAGCAGATATACAAATAAAGGCGGTTTAGAAGAAGTGTATATCAATTCAATTTGCTATGATAAGCATCAAATCATCAAACTGATGCCAACAAAATGGGATGTAATGAAGTGAGGTAAAAAGGAAGTGATTAGGCTTACTTGCTTAATACTGCTGACTTGGTGGTTCCATTATGATCGAATGCCTGAGGGCTTATCAAAACATCCATTATTCGCCTTACAATTAATATGATTCCATTTAGAACAAAAAAGTAGTTTAACAATGGTAGCAAGCAGTGTACCATGCAAAGCAATAAAGCAACGCAAAGAAAACATTAAAAAAATGGAGGAGGCAACAGAAATGAGTTATTTAAGAAGCCACCTTTATGATGCACTCAAAAGAGCATTCACTATTTTCATTTTATTTTCAGAATAAACAAGAGACCTGCAACATGATCGTCATTGATTTCAATTCTGAGCTATGTCTGCTATCTTTTCAAACTACTGAGTTGCACTGACTTTTATAATGCGTCTCGACAGTTTTGAGACACCTACAGATGCTAGCCGAACACGACTGTCCTTCATCCCATGGTGCGTCGTCAGTTTCAGGGCAAGCGGACAGTGACCAATGTGAAAGGTGCTGAGATGAAATTCATAAGACAGTGTTTTAAGGCTATCAGACTCAACGAATACAGGTCTCTATCATATTCATACAACGCAGTAGCAAAACAGAATAATTTACTTAGTGTTTCCACCGGATGGGAGAAATGCTGTAGAGACAATTATGATCAAGCACTCAGACTCGTCTGATATCCCCAGCTCAGCTTACATAGGCCAGGTCTGTCAGTCGTAGAACAGAACTGATCGTACATACACCTTGTATATCACAGCTATGTCAATCTCATGACCACGCCAAAGATGATCAACATTGGTGTATTTCCGTCTGGGATTTCAATATTCGGTTGTAATTTTCATGAGTCACATCGGCACTCACATAACTACTCGTGTACACAAAATTTTGACAAGTTTCAACGGTTCACCACTAAGCGTGAATTCAAACACACACTCCTGCTTATTTTATCAAAGCACTTTGATGGTGCGAAGCACACGTCATACTTACGGATAATCATCGCTAACTAGTTGAGCTCGATTTCAGTAGCCTATGTGATGTAGCATAGCAAGAAAATATTGTCTGCATACTGAAGGTCGGAGAGTCATTCATTTGCTAACCGGTCTGTACCACCACCGTGCACCTCCATCATAGTTGTCTCGCGTATATCATGAATGATAAAATTAGGCAACAGTGCCTAACTTCACTGTTGGTTGAGAATAATATTAAGAAGTAGTTGTAAGCCTTCGTCTGACCTGCGGTGTTGAAGCATATAGCTTTCAAGATATCAACAAACTTTCCAAAGACACTCCTAACAGACAATTCCGGAGTGCGGTCCTGCCCAAGGTATGAAACGTAGCCGTAATGTCGAGAAATACATCGACCGTTGACCCCCATTACATGTAACGATGCTCAAACATCTAGCAGGGGGTGAACGTATGCTCATCACATCAACGAACTGAATGAACCCTGGTCTCCTCCTCGCAGATCATTTTCTTTCACGCTTTTTCACAGCCTGCGACATATAACCAGCAACCAGTTCTAAGCACTACTGGCAAACAGACAGGTAACACCAACATATAACTTCGCATTATTGTGTAACGTTCCTAGATTCTGCACCTCGTGTCAGCACATCAGACGGAAATTGGCTGAGAAAACCAAAAGTGGTAAAAACTCGTGAATAGAGAGAGCATGATGGAATAAAAGAATATAGAAACTCAGTATGATGATTAAGATGAGGATAATGTGTGGATGTATCTGCGTCACTGAGATCGATTCTAAGCCATATCACCTAGTTTCAAATCACTGATTGCTGTTGTCACATTAAAACTCCAACTTGAAAGTCTACATTTCCTCAGATCGACAATCAGTCCTCACTAAATGATGCCATATATTAGTTTATTTTAATCTTAAAACCTCTAACCTTATTCTAGTCAAAACCTATTTCAGCTAACATTGTTCGACGTGGCAGACGACGATTAGACATGAGCAAGCGATGCTGTGGTTTTTTGGTTTAAGGAAATCACTTTCGACCAGTGGAACACGGGTTCGAACACCGCCCCACCCACTGAGGTTTGGGTAGTATCAGTAGCCCTCACATAATAGGTGTGGCCCAATGCCTAGTGCATGAGTGTGCAAAAGGTTGTTGAGTGCATTTCGATTTCGAGACATGCCTAACACAATCACTTGTGCCGATGAAGACTGGTGGCCTGCTTGAACTTTGGGTTACCAATAAAATTTTCCACCAGACATATCACATCAAATTCTTTCAAATATGTTCCATAAACACACCATGTACTCTTGGGAATTTTTCTTATGTTACAAACTAACCGTTTTTCGAATAAATAACAAAACGAATGAAAAATGTTATGTTAGACAGAAATGGACTTTTGAATACGTAAAAATACATCATATTTCTGTTCGTCGGATACCTGTCTTGACTAGGAAATTCTTCTAATAGCTGAATGAACCACCACCACTGAATATCGGACGCTAATCCGTCACCAACCGACTGCTATACATTATTCCCTTTGAAGCTGTTATTAAAAAGACATCATCAAAGGGCAATAATAATGTTGAGGGGGTTGTGGAGATTTGGAACTGGCGCTCATTGGTGAATAGCTTCGAGAAGTATTCCCGAAGTTCCAATGAGAAGTCGTGACCGGTGGAGTCAAAGCCTAATGGACGTGAGGACAGTTACTCAACGATGACACTGGGTGGCGGTTGCGCTATATCGTGAGCTAACAGAAGTTGAAAATATGGACGATTGGATTGTGACCCAGTGGGTCAATGGTAACGTGCTGGCCACGGCTTCGATCCGAAGAGTGTGGGGTCGTGGGTGCGCACTGCTGAGGAGCCCCACAGTAAGGCGAAACAGCTATCCAGTGCTCCTAGGTTTCCTCCAACTGGTGTTAGTCTGCAATGAATGACAACTTGAAATAATAATATTGTTTGGAAGGGAATTTGTTAATATATAACATGCTGAGAAATCCATACTGTACCAAACATATTGTTTGGAATAAAGCTAATATTACTACTACTACACGGTTCACAACCTCAGTGACTAACTTTTTTCTTTTGCCTGTAACTCTACGTTCGACTTCTGCGTTATTGACATGGCGTCATGAAACATGGCCTGTGCTACGAAGGCAACAGTATTCTAAGGCCTGAAGTCTTCCCATGTTCTCTACCTTCGGTGATCATGTTTGATAACTATACTTTACTATGGCTCCTCGACTAAAATTACCCATGAAACAACCATTTATGTTTTTGAAGTGAGGAGACGTGCTACTGAAGCTCTATGTTCCACAAGGAACTGAAGGGACAAATAATGATAAATGCATCCGAGAAAGTAGAAATTGATAACCTAAAATACTATCAGCATCGTCACCATCAGGGTGCTTCAGTTCAGTTAAGGAATCTTTTAAAAGTATATCGATCTATTTGATGTCAGAAAACTATATAGCCTCCATAATCACATCGACAGGTTGATAAAAATTTGGAGAGACCATAATGTCAGACAGTTTTCTCGTTCGAGGTTCTAATAGCAGTATCATTAGAGGGACTTCTTTGGCGTGACCATAAAGGTTTTTATACTGATTCAGATAGCACGATACAAACAGACAGAAATTAACGTAGAACATGACATACATGCACATGACCTCATTGAACCATTTGGAGTAAAAATATATGCCAAGTGAATAATATTAAATTAGAAATGAAGTGTACAGAAAACGTTTGAAATTTAGAAGATGAGAAAAAGTAAGTCTTTCTGAACCGTATCATCAGCAATCTTCAATCATTAATCCCTGTTATCTTGAGTGCATGAACCAGACAAGGTGGACGGTTCAGACTAATAACATTCACGAACTTCAGGGATTGGTGTCACTTCTTTATTCCGACCACCACCAGCTCCCTTCCAACCTGATCTTACATCGGCTAACTTTGCATGTTGCGGTAGCTAGGACATGTCTACGCCATTTCACTCAGTGAAGGTTTACAACCTTCCTTATCTAGTACAGACAGCCATTCTCGACATCACCCACCATGGTTCTGCTACATACAAGGAGCGCTAAGAAAAGGCCTGTAGTCTACTCGTGTTTTCTTCCAACAGTCACGTCTCAGATTAAGTTGCTGTGGCGATACTTGTCTTTTGATATGTATGTAGTTGGATTTCTCACCAGTGTCAGCAGTGATACTAGTTGGCAAGTATCGACATTTACCATCTCTCTCGACCTGAAAGCAGCATCTGACTCTAGCGACTAAGAGGTGTTACAGTGTATGACTGGGAGGAGAGTATCGAGGAGGTATGGAACGCTAATTATAGTTCTCTGCTCGAACTCGCGTGGCCGTCTAAGGATTGATAAAGAATGCACTTTGAATGGGCGATAACTGGCAGCATCCGTCAGGGATGCTTGTTCTCACCGATTCTGTTTAACTTCGTTATAGATGTTCTAATGGACATAACCTTAGTTACCTCTGATTCCCCATGGATTGATTTACTTCTCGGAGTTTGTGATAAAACTTGGAGTAAGCAGAAAACATTATTTCGTTATGGACAAAGATGCTTTTTCCGAGCTTTATTACCGGACATTTCATCATCAGGCTAGGAGATCTCATCAGCATTTACTTTTTTATGAAGTTTATATATATATATATATATATATATATATATATATATATATATATGTATGTATTTGAACGCCAAATATTATTTCCGTTATGTTTTTCTCCTTTTAGGAGCATTTCAAGCTGTACAACATGTATTTCTAGTGGGTGTTGGTGGCAGTGTACCTCACGTGTATGAATTCGACAAACATTCGCGTTTGGGTGATATTGTAGTGAGTGCTGTGGCTCGTCCAACCGGACTGCATTCCCCGTTGGCCACAAACAACCATTCGATGACAAATGGTGTTGAAGACGCTATTTACATTTACTGTGATCGTTTAATCGAACCTCCAGAAGATGCTGTTGATGTTAAGACACCAAGATTCGTGTTGAAAAAATACGCCGCTCGAGACTCAACACTAGTAAACTGTGTGGAGAAAGTCCTTGATCGCTTTGAAGCAGCCCCAGAAAAATGTGAGTGGGCTCAAATATTAAAGTCTGCTCTAAATGTATTAGGTGGAGAAGATGATCCTATTGATTTCGCACGACCTGCGCCTGATACTGATAAGTTAAAATTAAAGGTGAGTAATGATGAATAGTCGCTCTGGCCACCCATTAAGTGAGAAATAATATTTGCATAAATTCTTGTTATTATGTTAGTTAACGTGAGAGGAAAAACTCACAGGATATTGGCTTCCTCCATCTCGTAACAGGTCTTTTGAGCACATGATTTATTTGCTTCGCAGGATAATACCAGCGGCTTCCTTAGGTAATATACGTAAGACTAGGAAGGTTTCTTTTGACAGAATTATTACTTTTATCAGCTTTTATTTACTGACCTACCTGGTGCAGGTTTGTGCCATAGTGTAAAGATTTGTAGATACTTCCCAGTTACCCAGGTCGATTTAAAGTGGTGCGAGGTTTAAAGATGAGACCTAGTGGTTGAAAGTCAAATGCATAAGCCGATGAGCCTCAGCTTCAGTTGTTGACCGACTGAGGTGGCTTGGATATGTGCTGCGCTAGTAGTCATCGTTGCATCTGATTTGCTAAACCACATGGGTCATGACTTTTTATTAAAACTTCTCCAGTCAATGTTAATCTTTGATGGAAAAGCACTTTGAAGTTACACTTTTTTTGTTAGATATATAGTACAACAATTACTCACACCATTCCATCCACATTCCTGTTAATGACAGTAGTTAAAGTTATTATCAATTTTTGATCTCATCAGTTATCGATCAACCACATACTGGAATTTTTGTATGTGATTTTCTTATTGATTATGTCTTTAAAGAGATTGCGTGCCGTTATGCATGGTACATAGGCTACTACTTAGTTTGGCAGGACTATTGTTTTTAAAGTGTCACATGAAGATCAGCGTGTAGTGCACCAAAACGGTATGCTTGTGTTTATGTTTAGTTAGATATTAAACTAAGGCTAATCAATAATAACGGTTACATACGTCTATTGTTATTCATATTTTATCAACTTCGTTCCTTAGATCAATGAAGGCGTTACATTCGATATCAAACATCCAGATGTGCCTGAGGAATTGGCCCGCTTTTATCCACCTGGCGTACCAGCTGTTCGCCTTGGCTGTATGGGGTCCGGTCGACCGGTTACCGATAATGACGCATTGAGGAATGACTTTGCCAAAGAGCATCACTTACTGTGTTATGATGCTGAATATGACCAAGTACGTTACTTTTTAAGTCGACACTCAGAATTTTGAAAGTCAGTCGAACAGTTTCTAATATCACTTTCCGTTTTTGTATTTCAGGTTTTGGAGTCTGTAATGGGAAATGGTCTTGACTCTTTTATTCTCATTCGTGGGATAGCTGACTATGTGGAAGGGAGACAAGGGACACAGTGGCAGCCATATGCTGCACTTGCAGCAGCCTCCTTTATGAAATCTATAATTCTGCAACTACCATCGATTTCAATAAATGAAGATTGATTGCCTAACTCTTATTATCTCAAAATGTCTGCCTATTAATGCTTTACCCAAAGACTTCCTTAAAGTCTATGCTTATTTTAACTGCATAACTTTGTCACCTTTTCATCTCAACCCATCTTGTACAGTTCTGATAACGTTCACTGAAATCTACCAATTCACTTACTGAAACATGCCTTTTGATGTAGCTTTATTTTTTTGTCCATCTCATGTATGAACAATTAAAACAAATTATTGCCATGTATTATAATTAATATAAGTATATTATTGGTAATATCATTATCATTATGATTTCAAAATTATATATTTATATATACTGAGGCCAATGAAACATTTTACAATATAAGGACGGATTACCATTGAACTTTAAGAGTAGGGATGGTTAGATTTGTAGTTGTTTTACTTGACTGTCTGAAAAGGAGACTTGAAAAACAATGGGAACAGAAATCATAGTTTTATCTATGTTGATAATTCATGTGCATTGTATAAAAGAATAGAACATATCAGTAACTGTTGAAGATGGGGAATGAGGGAAGGGTTTTTTTTATTATTATTGCGATCTGCTAGGAGTGTAGTGTGTGTGTGTGTGTGTATGCAACTTTAAAATAGTCTATTTATAGCATAGTACAAAACTAAAAACCAAAGTTAAGAAAGATAACTTTTCGCATGTTTTTGTAAACTGTTAGTTTTGTTGTGGTTTTTGTTGTTATCGTCGGGCAATAATTTCTCAGTTACATCTGAGCTGTACACTTCATACGCATCATATGTATGAAGAGACTGAAAAAGTGAACTGTGACAATTGGAAAGACGCATTGTGATTGTTTTGTATAGAATTAGAGTAGTTGGTTAACGATTGTTAATAATATAACATATACAACAGATGGATGTATTCAACATTGTTCTCTTTCAATCAATTGTACTTGCGTTTTATACACCTATATGTATGTATGTATATAAAAAATACACAGAGTGAACTGATTTGCGGGATATTATTATTAGGCCTGAGATGAACGGCGTAATGATGAAACTGTCAAATGCATTTACGGATATGGCAGCTTCATAATTTTGAACGATTGAACAAGCTTCATTGTAAGTGAATGTACACAAGATGCTAAAAGAAACAAAACATATCTATTTGCTAGTAATATTCATAGTTTGAACTGAAATCGAATCACAAGATTTTTCAATGAAAATAAATCCATTAAAATGATACTGTGCTCTAAACACTATTCAGAATGAACGAAACTGTAGACATCTACGATTTCAGGTGATTTATTGTCACGCTGTCTAGTGCTTCGGCAGCTCGATAGTTCATAGCTTATCACTCGCTACACTTTTTGTTTACAATAAAGAATGGTAGAAATTTTATGTACACGGGTTAAGCTCAAAAGTAAATTGACTAAGTTTTCACAATGGTCATCAGCTGTGGCGAAAACAAAACAGATGACATCAGCACCAGGTAATACCTGACAGTTATTACGGCCTATTAAAGATACTGACAAGATGACAGTTAGAGACCACCACCGGAAAGGATGGGACGCCGATAATCTCTCCAAAACAGGCGGTGGCAATAATCAGAACAGTTCAACTGGCATGCTTTCGAAAGTTAAGATACAGCATGAATGTGTCTCTGCGACCGCGACATATTTAATAATAATTCACTTTATTCCAAACAATTTGTGGTACAATTTGGAATTCTCAGCTTAACGTATATTGCAATAACAACAAAATACATCTGTATATACATACTACTTTGCAGCCTTCCAAATTGTTTTATTATAAAAATTTAAGTTATGTGATGAAGATTAAAAACGAGAAACTTTTGCATTGCTAGCTGAATTATTGAAATGGAATTTTTAACTGTCACAAAGTTGGTGTGTGATTTCTGTTCTAACACTTTTTTCCTCACAAAATATACGAGCAAGGTAAGGTACAGTCGAATTCTTATACCTAGCTGTACGAGCATACAGTTTTATGTAGTTTCTCCTTGTCCTCCCTGAGGAGATACATGGAGAGAGCTGTAAATGAAGTGGATGCTCACTGTCAGTTAACATTTCTGTAGCTAGTAGCTTGCAGGAATTTATATGTCGAACAACTACACTGTTAATCAGTTGAGCCAGAGACACACCACTCACCCTGCTGACAGTCTTCAAAGCCCTATGCAACATAACATAGTCCTTTTTAAGAAGACCAGGAAAGATTAATGGGGAACAAGTAAAACGCAACCCAAGATAGTTCACACACGATTTACTTTCTGCAGAAATACCATTGATGCAGCAGGCGTCATGAGATTTAAGCAACTCACATAAGTCTTGTTTACTCCTGAGGCTAAAATTAACCGTCTGACATTTAGAAGGGTTTAGTTTGAAACCATTTGAGAGAGACCATTTACCAACTTCAGACAAGAATTCATTTAATTTCGAGCAATCCAAAGAAGAGTTTACTGGAATAGAAATCGTCAGGTCGTCAGCATACTTGATAAAATTAGTTTCAACAGAATAAGGCAAATCGTGCAAAAAAAGGAAAACAGAAAAGGAGAAAGTACAGCACCTTGAGGCACACCAGCTTCAGTAAGCAATGAAGTCGAGCGCATCCCTTTATGAATAGTGTACTGTTTCCTTTCAGAAAAATAAGAATGCAGCCATTTTGTAACCCATGGATCAGTGTGAGCTATGGCAAGCTTATTTAACAAAAGTGGTCTAGGAACAGAGTCAAAGGCTGATGAGTAATCCAAAAAGGCACAACGGACATACTTAACACCTTTGTCGAGACTAGAAACAATATTATGATGCAAGACAGTAGCTGCATCTAAAGTACTCCTCCGGTGTTTGTAAGCAAACTGTTTTGGATCTCTGAAGGCCATCAATGAAGGCTCAATCACAAGCAGAAGTAATTTCTCCATTAAAAAAAAAAAAAAAAAAAAAAAAAAAAAAGTCAAAAAGTAACTTCTGATCCAGAAGATGGCTTAGGCACAGGTACAATTTTTATCTGCTTCCAAGCAGTGGGTATTATGTTTTTAGAGAACGATACATTGAAGATATCTGTAAGTGGATGACACAAAATATCTGCACATTTTCTAAATATGATACTAGAAACACCATCAGGACCTAAGCTTTGGGAGGGATTCAAAGACTTTAGACATTTAAATACATCATTTGTATTGAAACCTGGAAAGCAGCTATCCACTTGATTTTGCACATTAGGAAGGGTGAAATTAGCTTGCCGACGTATAAATGACTTGTTTAACGCGCAGACATCCGAACGAGTTTGTGTTGTCATCTGTTTTTTACCAGTAAGCTCTTTAAATAATTTCCATATATTGGAAGAGTTCTTACACGATAAGAACTTCTCGTTGTATATAGTATTCAGACGTTGTATTTCAGACTTAATTAGGCAGTTAAGCCTTTTAACGCCAGGGTGATCTCTCGCCTTATACAACCTTTCCTTTTCTCTCCGAAGCCTCTTGAGATGAGGAGAGGAAAGTCTGTCAAATCTCATGTAAATTGTTTCAGTAGGGCAGCAGATATCGAGACAGAATCTGAGATAGCTTGTGATATTGGTAATAGTGTTGTCTAAAACTTCATCAGCAAATATATCCCAGTCCGTTTCTATAAGCATGCTTCTCAAACGTAATATATTTTCTTGTGAATAGCATCTGTATTGAACTTTCCTTGAAAGGTATGCAAAAGCTTTCTTGTATAATTTTCCGTACACTTTAGGCAAAACACGAACGATACAGTGGTCGGAATTTAGCAGTGGAGCCCGTTTACGGGCTTCATATATGCCAGGTTCATTTGTAAATGCAAAGTCTAAGGTGTTGTCAAGACGAGTGGAAAAGTTAACCATATTTTTATGACCCAATGATAATAGAAAACTGTAGTCACATGAGTTAAAATCACCACAGACAATAGACAAGGAGTTTCCCAGAACCGGAGCAGCAAATTCAGTGAATTTATCAGCAAAAGTTGACAAATCTGAGAAACTGCAGTCAGGTGTGACATACATGTTTGTGATATATGTGTATTTGTATTTGCTCAAATGTTTGGGACGACATTTGATGGTAATGCACTCAATTTTTTCGTTAGAGAAGCAGAAGCATACATAGTTGGAGGACGACCAGTTAGTACTAATAAATGTTGCTACACCACCACCACATTTCTTCTTCGAAAAGCTTCGATCTTGTCGAAATAATTTGAAACCATCTAAGCAGACTAAGTCATCATCATACAGATTATGAAGCCATGTTTCCTGCAGCATTATTACACCCGTGTTTCGATAAACATTTGTGGACAAGAGTGACTGAAGGTAATCAACTTTATTCGGCAACGACCTGCAGTTTGTGCTAAGTATTTCCGGAATAGTCATTTGATCTATGGTCATACGCTTCAGAGCTCGTTGCCATCCACCGTGGTGCTTCTTCTTAAATTTCCTATCAACTTGCGAAGCGATAGGTTGTAATGATTTTAAAAACGCGCGAGAATATACAATACGATTGGTTGACATAATTAAACGATTAAAACAATATAAAAATAAGAAATTTGATGCAATATACTCGATTGTAGAAAACGGCAGTCCAGAGTTCAAGCAGGCCGCGATGTTAGTCGAAATAGGATTAGTTTCGCTGAAGGCTAAAGTCGGCAGACTAATCCATGAACTCGTTAACTGTTAGTATGATCCGTGTAGGGAACTGTAGGTTATCTAATTTGGGACACTTGGTGTTATGGTTCAAAATTAATCACAATGGCACGTAATTATGTATCTGAAATATAGTACATCAACTAGATGCTCGCTTAGCACCAGGTTCTCGAAATACAAGCATGACTACTAGCCTCTTACTATAGCCACCGTTTTACCCAGAGCCATCCGCGATATCCATTTATCAAGACTTCTTCTGGCACAGCCTGTCACTGAAGGAGTATTCATATCACATTAACGAAGACTATAATCAAAAGGTCCTTGTTACGCAGCAGCTTATAACAAGTCAAATTGTAAGGTGGCTGCATAGAATGATGCTTCCCAGGTATTTTTTTATTAGGATTTATTACAGATGTATTTTTTGAGTCTTCAAATGAAGAATATTGCTACATGACATGACACTAAACTCTGCGTTCCACAAATCGATACTACGATCAGTTGACGGTGTAATCCGTTTGAAACAAACTTCACAATTCAACGGAATGCTTCTAATAAGATGGTTTAAGACATTTTACTTGCTTGAAAGATAAAATTCTGTTCGGAAATAACTTTGCACGACAGTGACATCACAGCTTAGTGGTGACAATCCTGCTGTAACCTAGTAGATACAATTAAAATTCTTAAGAGACATTTAATCTCTTGTCTAAGCAAAATATTCGAAATACAATGAAACTTACTTAAGGATCATGATAACCTTATATTACGATGGGAGGAACTCTGCACGGCTATGTCGCCAGTCTGACGGACGCTGTCCACTGGAGCTAGAGAACGAAGTACTACTTCCTGACGATCCACTTGCAATCCCTGATGTCCCAGAGATCCTGCCAGATGAGCCAACAACAGCAGCATTGTCGATACCAAGATTAGCGGTTTCGATGTCGAAGGCACGCAAAGCATCAGCATGGCGTTCCATCAGCCGTCTCGTCTTTTTACGAGACTCTTCTTTGGTTGACTCGGCATTCTTTTTCATCTAAAATGAAGAGCAAACCAGCAATCATCACAACTAAGTTCAAAGAGTAAAAATCTAACCATGTTTATATGTAAAATTCCGGTAAATCCAATTCGTGGGAATTTAATAATCAAACAGTGAAGCCGTTTAGTTTTCAATTTAATCCATAAATGAGTGCTTTTCCGATTATGTGAGCAGTATTCCCTTAATTAAATGCATAGACAATATATTCTTATCCTGTGAATTTATTAGTAACATTTGCAAATTGGTGTGCGCATTGGATTTACCACACCCGTATGGCAGATTTACGTCATCTCTGGCGTCAGCAAGATAGACAAACGCACATCATAAGACGAATATACTGTGCTGCAGTCCGTTCTTTTTTGTTATTCAGCTGAGACTTGATCCTGGAAGATGGTATTGGGAAGTTGAGTATCTTACCAACATCGCTCGTGTACAGTGGAACTACAGTGTGAGCAAGTATTCTGGTTAGGCGAAAGGTACTAAGCAAGATAGGCAAGTCGGTCGGTCAATGAGGCTTGGATACATGTTGCATATGCAGGACAACTACCTACCTCGACGCGCAATAATAGAGGAAGTTTGATTGAGTTGGAACAAGGCTCACGGCGGCCAGACCAAGGCCCTGCGTCATCCCATGAAGTTTTTAACTGTTCATGTGTTGCGATGTAGACTATCTGGTCGGGGTCACCGAAACGATACGCACCAGTGGTTGGAGACTCTTAGTGATATGACTAAGAACCAGTCACAATAGTACAGATGTATTAACTCTTTGACGTTTTCTAAGGCTTGAATATTTTCACTAAACTTAATTTTTTAGTTTTTCTTCTCCCATACACCTTTGTCTACTTTGCTGTGCGTCTTTTTTATCCACCTGTTTTTGAGTGCTGCTGTCTGCATTTCGCCTACCTCAAGAAGGAGGGAACTTGAGCAGATAAGGGTCTCTCAGATTATAGTGCTTCCAGAATAATCTAATTTACCGGTTACCGACCTATTAGTCTTGACACAAAACCTTCACATTCTAATCCGCTATATTTCTGTCCATCATTTAAATTACATGAAATTGGACAGCCAATTCTTTTTGAGGATTCATGAAATTGTTCTTAAAGTAACGCTTACAACATTGTATCCATCGGGTTCATCACAATTGCGATCTCCACTTGACTAATAACTTTTTTTTATAACGATTACGAATGATTTAAATACGGGGTAGTTTGATCGATCGCATTAAATATTTCCCCGAAAACTATGGTGTTTGAAGATACCGAAAAAAACTTTCTCATCAAAGAAACTACCTGAAATGCTTCAGTCACTATAGAAATTTCATAAGAACTAAAAAGGTTCCTATCTACGCAAAGCGATTCATATACTAATATGCTATGACCACGAAGACCACCATCAGTAGTATATGCAGTTGGACATAAACAAATGATAAGACTATGAGTTAAAAAAAAATACTTCATAGATGACATACTGCAGCCTCGAGGGACTCTTTTCGCGCACGGATTCTACTTTCTAAGTCCTCTCTTTGTCGTTGATGTTGTTTAAGCATATCACGTCGTTGTTTTTCCTGAAAAGTGGATAGAATTTTGACTCCTTCTAAACGATTTTCCTTGAATTCTTTATTTTCACGAGCATGTGAAGATTCAACTTTACCCTGTAAGATATGAAAACACATCAGGGGAATTTTAAAAAGAGATCACATTACTTCATATTCTAAACGGGGGGGGAGTAGCTTGACAATATGCAAAAAAGCATTTAGCTTAGAATGATGACTACTTCCTAAACCTAGGCGTAATAGACTTGGCTGATGAATGCTTTCTAATGTGCACTTTCGCATGATTGATATGTGTGCTAATCAGATATTTCAGGATCAAGTTCATTTACCACACTGTTGAGATGTTCTATAAAGGATTGTTAAGAAAGTAATCTTTGTAATAAGTTTGCTGACGACTGATTAAAATCTGAACTAGATCAATCATAAAGTAAATTACGTCAATATCTTTCAAAAAATGAAGGTGTGTCCTTCGTTTTCTTGTTCTCACTTACTGATACAATCAGCCTACGCAAACAAATGCTGAAACATTTATCTAACCAAGGCTATTTTCTACATCCTGACGTCTACAAATCGCATTAATCATATCCATGTCTGTGTACTCGACATTCACACGTAAAAAGGAGAATCTTGTTGCTTTGTAGCAGACAGACAAAATCAACATAAAAACTCGTACACAAATGCACCGGTTCAAGTTGCCACATGCAACGTAATTCATTTGTTAAAGCATATAGAGTTTAAAGTTTTTACAAATAGGTCCTTCGACTAAGCTATAAAATAAGCGTTACAAGTATGAAAAATATTTTTGAATACAGCTTATTGACAAAAATGTCCAAAACACATTTGGGCCTTCCTTATAAATCAGCATATTTCACTGGTTAGTCCTTACAAGTAACCGAAAATGTCTAGAAAACAGGAAGTACTCCATCTCTCATAAACTGAGGTACAGGATACAATGTCTTCACGCTGACTCTTATAATCTTTAAATCCTACAAATTTAATTGTTAACACATTAAACAAATCTATGCATTTACTTAAAATGATGAAAAAACACTGTAATATTAAACCATTGAACAACATTCGTTACATCCCGTAGAAAGACCTAAGCTAGAAATAAGAAAACCTTTTCAGAGTATCAGGTACCCACAAAATGCCTTACATATTTGTATCTTATATCAGGTTTCACTTTTCTTGAAAGTAACATCAAAATCTACGAGCGAAAAACAATGAAACTACAAAATGGAGTTAGGGAACAAATTGAGGTTCAAAAGTGATGATGCGACTTCGTGACCTGGTACTCATCTATGTACTGATGAGAGCTTATAACAGGACTCAGACCGAAGTAAGCAGGGCAAATTTTGAACCTAGGACCCGAGGTTTGAAGATCGGGTGCCTAAGCCAATGATCGACACAAGCTGAAATAGATGAAACGGGATTCGTACCTGCGACACAATTTGTTGAAAAACAGAACAGCTTCACAAAATTATGGATAAATTTGTAGCCATATTCTTCTCAAAATCAATTACTAAAATCTGCCGATAAACAAAGAAAATAGTCTGATTCTCAAGGCCACTGTCATCAAATAAAATTCGAATAACCTCACTGTCACAGAAGCGAAGTTGAATGCACTTAAAGTAAAATACTGACTTACGTTTTGACGTTCATGTAGTTCACTGATGCTTTTATTATACTGTGCTTCTAAATCGGCTTGTTTACGCTTTTCTTCTAATTTAAGATTTTCTAAAATCTGGCGTTCATCTTGTAGATGCATAACTAACTGACCTTGTATATCAACTGAATCTGGACGATTACTAACATTTGATGAAGTGAATCCAGAGGAAACACAGGATTCGGAAGTTCCTAACTCTGAAGATCGACGTGCAGCTTTTAAGCGTTCTTCACGTAAAAGTTTGAATTGTTTTTTCTGAATTCTAGCCGCATCACGAAATTGTTTACGAATTTGCAATTCCTTTTGCTAAAAAAAAAAGATAAAAGATAGACATCCGATACAAAATGCACAACACTGATCATAAAAATGCTATACAAAGTAATGGCTATATGATACTGAAAACGTCAGTTTGATCGGTAATGATGGATCACAATTTTTTGCATATTTTTCTTCTCATTAGCTTGCCAATCAGAAAAAATTGACTTATTAATAAATTTCGGTGGGGAAAGAAACGGAGTTTAACTAGAAATCTTGAAATGCAAGCATTAACAATACAATACTGATTAGTGATCCATTTCATATGAAGTAGTCAGATGTTTGATACTGTTAAAAAGAGACACACTGCATCACAGCTTCATGTTAAAAAGTTACTGTACCAATGTAATCAGGTACACCTATATACACCTTATGGAAAATTTTCTTTGGCCATCACCTAACTCTTGAAGACAAACAATAAACTTAACAAATGCGTTAACTGACTGACAAAATCAAAGCAGAACCTCAGGTGCACCAGCTCAAATTGTCACATTTCACAGTAGAACAAAAAAAATGGGTGGATAGGAAAAGTGATATCAAATACACAAAGTAATGTGAAAAATCTGAATGTAACAGTTAGTGCGAATATATGCCACTGCGACAGATTTCCAGCCATCACCAAGAGTTCACAACTACTGATTCCTTTCGTCTATAGAACCCCTAAACAAGCAGTTTACACCTCCCCACCTCACGGCTCAAGGCAACAGTAAAAGACTTCATACACTGGTACCAGGTCTTGATGTGGCCAACCTGAACCCTCCTTCCACCTGATCCAACTTCCTACAGCATGCCATATCGGGATAGGCGGTGGCTTGGCATACCCGATACATATTTAAGCTATTTCAGTCGACTAAGGTTCACAATCTTATTAATCGACCTACCTATCTCGTCTAATATCCTTCGCCTGACCTCAACATTCCTTACACGATGATTCCACCTCACGCGAGCAATGCTACGAAGACATATGTGATCAAAACCTTGTAAACCGCTCCATGTCGTCTACTTTTAAGGGCCATATCCCACAGCTGTACAACAGGACAGAAAGGACCGCAGCGTAGTAAACTCATCTTTTGATAGATAGTCGGATACCTCGCCAGTCGGCGTCACAGGTGACGCAAGATGGCAAATTCCAAGTGGGCCTTGTGTATCAGAGCTGAGATTTCGTCAGTAACCAGCCCGTTCGGTGAGCTGATGCAACTTCTCAAGTAAGCGAAGTGGTCGACACATTCTACTACTTTATTCCATATTATGGAACTGGGAGTACTTCTAGCAGACTAGTCCTGGAGCACCATCTTAACAGCTTACTTACTCGGATAGGAAGATGAGATAATTATGGTATATGCCTATCCAAACAAGTTATTTCTTCATATAGTTAAGTATAAGTAGTTCCGCATCGAAGTTGTTTCATTTTCAAAATGAAAGAACACTTGTTATGCAAACTGACAATCGTATCTTATAGGATAGTGAAATTTACTATAAAGCATCACCTTTACGGCACTTTGGTTAATGTCTAATACACCTACAGACAAACAGATAACACTTTGTGTTGCAGCGCAATATTTTTTAAACATAGGAGTGTCACTAATCGCCTTTACTTGGTCTGCACATTCTCCGTCGGTTTGCTCACTGTTCGATAACCAGTGAGTGGTATTATAGACCTTCATACATTCAGCGTCAATATGTACTCAGCATGTATATGCACGTTCATGAAGTAACCAATGAGCCAAACTTAATGTATGAGGGTAAATGATACTACCTGGCTATTTAAACGTCGGTAAGTATAGGGGGATTCGAACCCCTGACCAATAAATCACATTAAATATGACTCCTAGCGTGTTACATGTAGTATAAGGTTAGTAAGCTTGTGTACAGCATTTACCAATGGTTCAGTCACTCAATGATCACCAGATAGTTCAATGAAAATAGCTCGTTTTGTACAAATGAATGGTACTTGTGATAAAAAACCGGTTGTGGTCAACAACATAGTATGTAAACTAGTATATGATTATTGAGTTGAATTCATTTCTACATTATGTTTATTGGAAGTGCTGTTCAAAGTCCAGACATTCTCACCAAAATATTTGATGTTATCATCTATTCAAAGCATATACAGTAGACGCTCATCCACTTCACAGACAACACGCTACTTACTAAATTATCTTGTTTATGTAGCACAGCAACAGTATGTCTAATAGCGAGTAAATAACTTTTTTTAAAGTACGCTGTACACACACACACAAAACCTATTTTTGTTTTGCCAAGCCATTCCCTCTTCGGATCATGAATACAAAAGGTACTTGATCCCATCACTTTAGCGCTTCGTCACCTTATCAACTGATTTTGTCAACGTTAGGTGAAGATGTTAACAAACAAATTTATTATTATATCACGCATATCTAGACTCATTGACATTGTCACTGAAAGCAATCGGAACGAAGAATATTCTTCTCAAATAATTCTCACCAGGTTTTGCAGTTTATAAAATGGAATTGGAAAGAGTTTAGAACGGGCCTTAAATTTGAACCTGATGAAAATTTTTTGGAAAGAATATTTTTTGTTCAAACTGTTTTTAATTAATGTTATGAGAATCTTTAAATATTTAAAATCCTACATATTGTCGTTTTTAGGAAAAAATCCTCGTAGGCCACACAAAATACTGTTTCAACATGCTGCCATGACAGTAGACGAAAAATAAAGAGTAACTTCACGCACTAAATTAGTAACGAGGGTATTTCAAAACCAGAGTAGAAAGTTATTCAACGTTGGAAGTGATTCTTTCGAAGCAGATAGTCGATGTTTACGTCCCATACTTTAGCCAATCATAATTAAAGTCGAATGATTTGATATGCTCAGTGATATCACAACTTGTTGTTAGAAACGATCTCCCTAGCATGACTAAGGTTTTGAGAGGGGGAAGTATTCACAAACAATGGTATAAAGAGAAATTGTGACAATGTAATGTTCTATCCAATACGCAAATACCAACCTTCAGATACTTCGGTAGATTTTTTGTCTCTTCACAGTGTCTTTTTTGTATTCCTGCCTCAATACGTTTAAAATATTGATGTAAATTTTCCATCTCGGCCTCATGTTGATTTGTAGCTGGTTAATACGTAGGTCCTGAATCCTTTTTAACTGGTTGATCTCCAAATTTTCAAGTTCAGTATGCTGCCTGAGTAGGAGTGAAGTAATCTCTTCAGCTGCTTTCTGCTGTAAACGTATATACTGGCGTAACTGCTCCATCTATGATAAATATAAACAGCGTGTATCAGATATTTTAAAGGAAAACCGATTGAACTAGATAATTTAAAAGCTGTATAATATAACAAGATTGATGAATAATTTGTTCACAAGTCTAAGTCAACAGGCAGATTTCTCAAGTGTTAGTGGGTGGAGCAGAAGGCTATTAAAGTGGTTTGAAACTAGGCGCGCTCAAGTCAACAAACTGAAAATTTCCTCTAGTCGACACAGACCCTTAAACCCGTCGAATTTATTCCATTAGATAACATCTCAAATAAGTTCATCAAATAGGAAAGAAGTATGATATCGACCATTGCTTACCTCAATATCCTGTAACTGAGTTAGAAGAAGACGCTTTGTTTTACGAGTTTCCAGTGCTGACACATCTTGACGTCGTCTTCGAATAGCTTCTAAAGGATTGGAATGTCCGCTGGAATCTGAATCATGTGAACTAATAGAACCAAGGACAGACTTTTTAGCAGATTTCAATTCACTTTTTGTTTCAGTTTCAAGTTGACGTGCCAATTTTGATTCAACAGACATCGCCCGTTTCCGTTCTTTTTCAATCTCAGCAGCATGAATTTCTTCCAACCGCATGAATTCTTTTCGCATTGTTAACTTCGTCGCTTCATAGTCTCGATTTAGTCGTGATTTTAACGATTCTTCTTCAGCCTAACAAATATAGTAATTGAATATAGTATAGTATATGGTGATTGAATGGATTTTTAGAAATATGTAACACTTTGCCAACTGGAATGAAGAAATTTCATAACGAACTTGACAAAAGTAATGTACGTTTATTACTATCGAAAGCAGGAAATGAAAAAACAAAATACATTACTCTATAGTGCTGCTCATTAGTGACTTGCTTCCAGATGGATATCAGGAAGCTCTAATCAGAAGCCGTGACCTGTGGGGTCAACCAGTCGGAAGTGAAGTGGATGCTAACTGAAGACCTTGGGTGACAGTCACGCTATGTTGTGAATTGACAGAAGTTGGAAATTGTGAACCACTGGAAACCGACTCAGTGGCTAAATGGTTAACGCGTTCGCTGTGAAACCTGAAGGTCCTGACTTCGATCCCTAGCCGGGTCGTGGGTGCGTACTGCTGAAGTCCCATACTAGGACGAAACAGCTGTCTAGTGCTCCCAGATTTTCAATGGTTCCCCAACTGATGTCAGTCCATGATGAATACTACTTCTAAAATAGAAGTTATAGCAAAAACTATGAAAATGCATGTTATGTCACTTTACTCGTGGAATCATCAAAAAACCAACAGAAATCGAATTTTAGATGCCACACAGATTCGGGAAAACCTCAGCATACAATGATATACACCAATCACGTAAAAAATTTAAACATTAGGTTGAAAGAAAGAAATTATTTGACGAGGTTATAAATTTTATTGACTGGGGTGGCTACAGTATACGTTACAAATGTCAACGTTGTATGATAGTTTGGAAACAGTTAAAAAGCGATCAAATCAAGATATGGTACCAGTACACGAAGTTTCTGAATGTAGGTCTAAGTCATAAAGGGAAATGTTGACTTTCAGGTCCGAGTTCACGAGATAGCCAAAACCGCTAGTTAGAGAATATCTGAAATGATTTAGAATTTCTCTTAGTGATGCAGATGCATTCACACTATATCTTGGTGTTAATCGTCACATCACATTTTATTGTTTACTTGGACTTAAGATGATAATGTCTTACTATCTATTCTACTCGGAAATATGTCGTAAGTTGTACAGCAAACAACCGAAGAGTGATTATGAAAGGAAACACAACCTATAAATGTCCAAGTGGCGTGTACTTTAAGAGGTTAAGAAGGTGAATGCATTAGTAGGGTGTACGCTATATACCCCTCATTTTGTATAGCCGTTGCCTACTGTTTTGCTTATACCCCTTAAAATAACCTGCATGGCTGTTTTCACACCGTTACTAGCTTTTCTTCCCTCTGCTCTCAAGGCTGAACTCTCATTGATTGTTAACTATATGTCGATTTAGTGTCATCAAGGTCATTTAGAAATGTATATACTCAGCATCACAGTCAAACTGCGTAGACTGTTGTTGAGACAGTAAAAAGCTCTGTCAACGGTCTATCTTTTCCTGTCTTCGCGCGTCAGTGTTATTGTTATAATGGTGGTTGACCTTCTGATTTGCGTTAGAGTTGATTCGTTGGCACGTCAGGTTCGTGTCGTTCGTAGTCTGCTAGGCTCGTATCGCACGTACAGTGTTAGATCATACAAACGGTTATAGCAGTGTAACAGTAAAAAGTACATGTGAAGCTTCTATTATTACGGATGTTTAATATAAACACAAAAGGTGAGTAAATGGACTAAGCAAACTTCAAGGTGTATCTCACAAAATACAAACAAACCTTATTTTTATCTTCAACTTGTTTCAAGTGTTTATTATGTTGGTTTCGAAGTCGTTTAAGTTCATTCATTTGATCACGACAGTTGGCCATTCCTCTACCATAACCCTGCTGAGTGAAACCAAGGGCAACAGCAGCAGCTGAATTAGAAGCATCTGGTTCTAAAGACTGACCTCTCATCATCTGGGTTGTTTTAAGTGTTGCAAAATGACCGACAGAAGATGAAGTGTCTTGTGAGGAGCTTATACCAACAGCAGCTAAACGTGATGTTTCGCCAGCTATACCTGAATCATTACGAGAGTTAATTGAAAATCGATTAAAGCTTTCACTTCCTGCTTTAATGATATGTGTCTTTGTTGGGGTAATGGAGGAACCTCTAGTTTCAGGGACAGAGCCTATAAAGTGGACAAGAAAAAAAATTTTTATTTAAACTAGAGTACATCAAAATTAAGTAAAACTTGGTTCTCTTTCCTTTTACTGTTTCCTAATCTATAATTATGTGATTACGATGCGTATAGCGATGACTTTCCAAAGGATAGACGACAGAAAGAAAGATACATAATCCAATACAGTAAACTAGTTACTTTTGTACCGGTATCGGGGAATGATTTTTCCAAACGTTGTGTAAGAATAGCTATCGAAACTAATGAGAAACGATATATGCTGTCTTATTATTTTTTTTGCTGAAATCAGCAGTCAGTTGAAATCAACAGCAGTGAATGGAATGTTTAGGAATCAAATTTCTTACTTTTTAACACTCCTAGATGAAGTAATAAAGGAAATTTAAATTAAATAGTCCACCTTACAAAATTTATGAAATGCTTTGTACCAAGACTCAATTTTTAGTTAGATCCAATCTCATACAATACACATTTTCATAATCTCTATTTCCTGATCAAAACTGCAATGTATAGTTTACTGCATCATTACAATTAATCTTTCAATCAATAATGTTGAAAACTAACTATCATAATAAACTCACCACGATGTCCCAAGTCACTGTTGGCGTCCACCACGATAGAGTGATACACATGATTGTCATTATTCGATTCCATATTAGCGTACAAATGACTATTTATTTGAACTGGACGAGAAGTTTGAGGATGCTGCATTACATTGGAATCTCCTGTACTTAGTCTGTGTGAAGTGGGTCTATTAGACAATGGTGATGGTTGTGTGCCGTTAAAATCGAATGAACCACCATGTCCACTGTCCGGATCAAATGTGCGAGACTGTTGAGACAAACAACAATATAGGTCTAAATAAAAGGCTATACAGAAATTGTGCGATTTTCCTGAGAAGTATAATAAGTTCTGTAAGCATTTTTCTGCAGGATATGCTTAATATGTCATGGTGTCAGTGTTCTAACAACATTTTACACTTTTATTTCTCCGGAATTAACTAAGTAGTAAGTTTTTGAGCGCAGATGATGGTAGAGACTACCAACTAAGGCTTAGAATTATCTGCATAAAGCATAAAACGACTATTAGTACAGATACGTAGAAAAAATAACTAATCCCTAACCGTATGGTCAGACTCTTCTTATGGGGTGATGTTAGATATGAGAGCTTGAAATAAACTTTTTGTTGTTTCAAATCACAATCCTTGTATTAACGGAAATCTGCAGTTTACACATCATAATACGTGTCTAGGTAATCGCTAATATAAAGGAAGCGAATAATTGAAGAGATAAGACCACTTCTTGCCACGTAACACCGTTTGCTATGCAAAACAGGTGTGTTTTTTTGACAACACATTCCAATGATTTGTCAAACGAAAAGAACCAAGGTCTCAGTATCACAGCTTTGCTTGCTTTCTCTGAAGACAGTTAAAAGTAACTTATTATACAGGATGTAGATTTTTATGCTCTTTTGTACATGTTACGCATTACAAGGATGCAGCATCATAAGCTTTCTGTAACTGGGCGTGATAATTGTGAGTCTAAACCATATCACATATGATGCATTTATTGAGATTGCATTTTACTGTTTACATTCCAGTTGAATTTTTAGACGTTGGTATTTTATGTATTGGTCTGTTTCACAAAGATTAACTCTCTGGAGACTTGATCGCTGAACACGGTTACTTTATTACACATTCATTCTTACATAAGCAAAACTTACTAGAACATTTGCAACTAAGGATAACCGATGAATCTTACTGTTTTTATGTGCCGGGTAACATGATTCTAAAATCTGTTAAGAACAGATTCCTTTTCTGATTGGAATAAAGATGCTATAGGATGTTGTAGTATGAGAATTTTTCGTCAATGATTTCCTTTTGATGCAGTTGATTAATCACCATTTGTATATAAAATTCTTGTGTGCATTTCCCAATATTGTTGATAATTTCATTTTGGCATTAATAGATAGGAGTTAGCAATAGAATCTAAGGTATATGCTCTATCCAATCGATTTAATAAATTCACTAGCGACAGTACATAACAACAGTTTTGCAAAAAAGGCACGTATACAACGACTTCATTAAAATTTGAGTAGAGTCAATCTCATAACTGGAAAACAAACTAAGGTGAAATGCTAGATAATGAAATATAGAAGCTCTGAAGTATTTAAGCATAGAACAGTTTTCGGACAATTTTCACATGGACACAATGGATAGAGTCACAAAAATGGAGGTACATACATAGCTCAAAAAATCACTATCTATGACTTTGTAGTAAAAGGGTGATAAAATTTCAGAAGTGCTGACAAATCGCCTAGGAAGAAGCCTTAAAGAATATCTTCCCTGTTGATGCTTTAAAAATTGTATTTAAAATTAGAACCACGTTAACTTGAAGTGAAAAATGATAAATGTTTTATTTGTTTAAATCAATGTCAGTCAACATAGGACCAGACATTACTGCACAACGGTCGACGTCCCCACACCTCATATTAGCACGACAAGTGATAAGATAATAAGATGAAGGGTGAAGAAAGAAAAAAAGATCAGTCAAAATGAGGAAAAACTAGTGAAAGAGAGGAAGAAGGGATGAGAAAATGATGTGTTTAAGTACAGCGGTTAAGATGAGGATAATGTGTGTATACATCTGCGCCAATGATATTGATTCTGAGCCATATCACTTGGAGTCTCCAAACACTGGTTTCTTTTGTCATGTGGACCCCAACCGGCTAGTCTGCACGCCCTACACAGCTCAAAAGAACAGTCAAGGACTGCATGGATTGATATCATGTTTTAGTCTGGCCGCCTCTAGCTTTTTTCCAGCCTGAACCTACTTCGATCAACATTGTGAGATGAGGCAGATGGTGGTAAGGCAGGCATACGTAACAGTAACATATGTCCCAGACATATTAGTCGATGACGGTTCACGACTTTATCAACTGATTTTCCCCTCGATATGCATACACATATTTAGCTAACCTCTTTGGAGAACTCTTTCTGAGTGTGCAAAAAAATATTTGTTAGCATGGTTGAGTAGAGAGAAAATTAAAATTATCAAGAGTTTTATACAGCCCTACTTGATGGAAACCAGTCACTCAGTGCACCTTAAGATATCAGTTCTCCATCAAAAACCCAAATTGAATACCTAATGGGTTACTCTTGTGTCTTTATCAGACATTCACGGCAGTTGCTACTGCAATTATGACACCAGGGTTATGGGAACAGGAAAAGATTTTCCCAACATTAGCTATTTTTTTTAGCCTTGTAATAACTCTAATGTGGTGTGATTATCTTGAACTTCATATTCGGGTTTTACTTATGACACTAAACTTGCATAATTCGAAACCATAACACAACTATTTCCCCTTTTAATTCTGTTTTGGTCACACATCAACAGTCGAATTATTTATTCTTTATATTCATTTATATAACACCAACTCCAACCTTAGGTTTTTATATATGAATTTATTAATTACCTATGAAAATTAAGTGCACACTATAATACATCATACTTCCACATTTAAAAGTTGAGACCTCAAAGAAGTATATAAATATTCAAATCATTAGAAAATAAACATACCGGTGAGTTATCATTTGAAATTCCAGATACAGAATGCTTGGGAGGTATGTACACATGCCTTTGACCGGACTATTGCAGCTATCGGATAGATCACTGCTTGCACTTCCCACGCTATTGGAACAACTATCACCCTAAACACAAAGAAAATATACATACGTAGGATATGTGAAAGGGAGAATCAATGAATACTAAACCAATACTGCTTAAAATTCTCACTAGTTCAAAATATATCCTTACAATTCAAACTCTGTCCACAGATTAGCAACCGAACTATTTACCTAATGAGTCAACCAGATAATATAGCAGAGCAAAGCAATAACATTTAGATGTAACTTTTATTTGGCACTGTGTTTTATCACAAAATGCCGAATATATACTGAGTTATATGGGACTGAAATACTTCATGTTTCTATCTATTGAGACAAATCAACGTACAGAAGTGTGCACCAGTTCATCAGTTTCAGTTGTCACACTATGTAGCAGCACACAAAGAGAAAGCAAGTATAAAAGAGTGGTATTAAAGTACACAACCTGTACGAGGAGAATGATTAAATAAAGGTTGGTGAAAATATTCAAAAAATTTACTTACATCCTGCAAAAGCAACTAACATCACAATCGTATATTAGGTTACGGGAAAAGGTTTCACTATGAAGCAAACTTCTTATAGTAACTAAAAGTCTCTAATAAATTGGATGATCAAGCATACAATAGAGAAAGCATGAAAGTGAAACTTGAAACTTGTGGCTGAGATGAAAGCATTTTAAACCTTACTGACTTTGGACGAATTTCTAAGAAGCACGTTCAAAATAGCTGGTGAGAAACAATCCATAAACTTTCAAGCAACCGCACCCAATACCAGTACTACTAATCTCGAAAAGTATTGAGAAAGATAGCCCCAACAAATTTTTGACTGTTATCCTGGACGACAGCTTACTGTAAGTCTGCCGCAACCTTATTTCATGTGCTGCTAAACTGGTTCGCATGACTTATGTGCTTTTATTCTATAGACGAATTAACTAAGATTGCATCACTTCATGTCATTGACGAATCAAATAATTATCAGTTTCTCAGGTACGAAAGTGAACTAATCTGCTGTGACACAAACATCAAACTGATAAAAATTACAATTCTTTTTTATAGGGTTACTTATTTTTTAGGACTATAATTAGAGGTAGCAACAACGTTATTTTAGGGTTATGCAACGGTGCTAACAGTTAAGATTAACTCGCCAGCATTTATAAATTGCATAGAACCGGCATCTGAAATCTATGCTGAAAAATCACCTACAGTTCTGCTTTCAGTAAATGTGGGAACCAATTACATTTAAACAGATGATCATTCATTTCACAGGGATTACTCAAGCAACAACATAATTGGTTGGTTAGGAGCTGAAGTCACAAGCCGTAACAAATCCTTCTTTGTGATGGATAACCGAAACCTGTAACTATACGCAGGTGAGCTAGGCGTCGATTTATGCCTGTTGAGGTTGAAGGTCGAACCTGCGATCGATTGCTGCAGGCCAAAGATTATATATATATATATATATATATATATATATATATATATATATATATATACATATAAATGACCTCGCCTAGGTAACTAGTTCACTAGTTACTAGCCTGTCCTAAGCCCTGATAAAGAGAGAAGGTTGGGGATACGGCTAGCAACTCTACCCCGGAAAACCAATCCAATCGCTAAAGCATAAAGAAAATATAAAACATAAAATTAAACTTATTCCTCGCTGGGATCGGAGAGGCAAAATGACACCAGTTGGTGAAAGCCCTAAGAAAGCCGATTGGCCGATGTGTCTTCTCTTCTCTCGATGAAAGCGAAAGTAAGAATGGGGACATGGAAGGTCCGAACAATGTTTGAAACTAGCTGGTCAAATTCATTAACTAAAGAATGTCAGCTGCACTTATTAGGTACGTAAATCAAGGGTACAGACACTAAACTATATTACATATATGATGGTATCCCATATGTGTGAGAGAAATCTATCTCATAGGCTACTTACTTTCTATGTAGTCCATATTTTATCAATTTTAAGACACACAAAACTTACATCGATAAAGTTTTTGTTTGCTTTTTAAGGAGTGAGCAAGCGACAATCACATCATTTTAACAAAATAGTATTTAAATCCACTTCAACTATTAATTAGCTGAAAGTTATTCTGAAACCCCAGGTTTTTAAAGTAATTGAAAGTAACCTGCAGCGTCATAATGTAACACGCAGTTTTAAGATAATAAATAAATTACTTTTCGCGTTCTATGTGAAGGTTACATTGACGTGATAAAAAGGGATATTTCAAGTAGCACAGGGCTAGGAAATAAGTGACTTACCACAAGATATTCAACATCATCATTTATAGAACTACTATCATGGCTGACATCCTCATCAATACATCTGTTAGAATCACGTCTTTGTGTATGGTGAGTTCCCTTTCTTAAATCATGCCGTTGTAAGCTGCGTTCTGGCTCACCTATGTTTGATCCTTCATAAGATTGTCTTAGTAGCCCAGAAGCAAGACGCGATCCGTATGAATTTCGTGCGGCCACCTCTAGTTCAGTATTGGAATCTTCGTACACAAATCCAGTTGTGCAAGGTTGTCTAGAAGTTGGGCTTTCCTCACTGCTGTTGACTACGACTGAAGATGAAGAATGATTTAAATCACTTTCATAAAGAATCTTTTTCCACTTCTGACTGATTTGATTTTCTTGGGCAGCTACTGCAGCCTTGGTGCGCTGAATTAACTCAGGGAGAATGTGTGAGAAACGAAACACACTAGCCAAAAAGGGATGTGCCATAGCTTGGGAACAAAAAGGTCTTTCACTCATCTACAAAGTAAAATAAGAAATTATGTTCAGATTAAGGAGTATATTTAAACTTTAAACCAGCTGTTCACGATCTTCAATATGCTCTCATTAGCAACCTGTGACCTGGGGTTACTCCCATCAACACATAAAAGCTCGTGGTAACGGAGAAGGCAAAATGAAATAATATAATCGAGTTAAAAGATGAAATAAGAATGTGAATGCAAGTGCATCCCTAAAACCTGTTCCGAGTCATATCAACTAGTCTCCAATAAAGCCGTTATCTCAGGGACCCAAAACTGGAAGTCTGTATTGCTCTACACGGTTTAGAACATCAGTCGACGACTTCATAGAGTAGTACTGTATGTTGGTTTAGTCACTCTAGCTAACATGGCTAATTCGCCGTGCGTTCGACCTAAAACAACTGCCTCTTAAGATTTGAGGTTACATACCGCGGTTAGTAAGACTATCCAAACTAATTGATTTCTGTCTACAGGTACCCACATGAGCCAGTATCCACGCTGAAGGCAGCTAGAAAGTTTCAGTCAGCTCCGCACCTACTGTTTGTCTCGTATCAGGTTTGCGACTGTCTTCTGAACTTCGGTAGATGTCGGATTGCAGTTGGACGGCTAACAACTCCAGCATAGGTATAGATCAGTTCAACTATTTTGAAGTATTTATCTAACGTCCCAGATACCACTACTTTTCAGCCCTTTACCAATACTCATGGCTGTTGAGAAAATCTTAACTCAGTTTATGTTCAGTGTTTCTTTCGCTCCTTATCATGTTCCCAGACTACCAGAATCCATCTTCTTGTATAGACTGATTCGGAGGCAAGAAAAAAGATGCATTCACTTTTACTGCTCGACAGCAGACTAACGAATGTTTTAACCAATACCACTCCAATAGGTTGGATATGACTTCAGTATGAAAAAAAGAGCTGCAATGTTCGGATAATTACATCTCCAAAGACTTCTTATCATCATCATCATCATCATTATCAACATAGGACCAGGCATTACTGCGTAACGGTCCGAGTTGCCACACCTCATATCAGCACATCAAGTAAAAAGGTAGTGAGGTGAAGGATGAAGATAAGTGAATGCAGTCAAAAGAAATATAAAGTATGAGAGAAAGGAAAGAGGAGTGACAAAATAGTGAGATTCGGTATAGCGTTGTTAAGATGAGGATAATGTGTGTATACATCTGCGCCACTGACTTCGGTTCTGAGCCATATCACCTAGGGTCTCCAACCACTGGTTCCTCTTGTCCCGTGGACCCCAACCACCTAGTCTGCATCGTCCTACATGGCTTAAACCAACAGTCAGAGACTTCATACATTGGTGCCATGTTTTAGTCTGGCCACCTCGGGCCTTTTTCCAGCCTGAACCCACCTCAGCCAACATTGTGTGACGAGGCAATCGGTGACTAGGCATACGTAGTACGTGTCCCAACCATCTCAGTCGATGAAGGTTCACAACCTCGTCGACTGACTTACCTCTTCTCCCTAAAACTCTACACCTAACTTCTGCATTACTCACATGGTGACACCACGGAATACGTCCTATACTACGAAGGCAACGGTGGTCAAATACCTGTAACCTTCTCATGTCTTCCACTTTCAATGGCCATGTTTCACAGCCATACAGTAGAACAGAGCGGACTGCTGTGCAGTACACGCGACCCTTAATAGACAAACGAATATCACGGCGGCGCCATAGGTGGCGCAAATTGGCAAAAGCCAATCGAGCCTTTTGTATCCGTGCAGAAATCTCATCGGCAACTAACCCACCGGAGTTGATCCTACTTCCCAGGTAAGTGAAGTGGTCAACACACTCAACCACTTCACTCTCTATTGTTAACCGCGGTACCGCTGAAGACCAGTCCTGGAGCAAAAATTTGCATTTGGGTGGTGAAAATCGCATCCCAAACATTCTCAAATTCCCACTCAAAGTGTTCAGAAGACTCTGCATCTTGTCAGCGTCTTCACCTAACAGGACTATGTCATCTGCATATTCTAGATCTAAGGAAAATTCACCTGTGGTCCGGTCAACGTCTTTGTAATTAGGTGACGAGAGGGAAACCTCCATAAGAATATCTATGATAAAATTAAATAAGAATGGGGATAGTGGGCATCCTTGACGGACACCACTTGATGAGTATAGCTCCCTGGACAACTCACCATAGGCTCTAACATGCCCACAAGTGTTCGAGTAGAGAGCTTTCAATAAGGTGATGTACTTACTAGGCACGCCTTTCAGTGACAGACACTGCCATAAGACTTCTCGATCAACGGAGTCAAATGCCGCCTTCAGGTCGAGAAATACAGCTATTGTCGGGCGTCTGTAAGCATGCCTATGTTCCAGGACCTGGCGCAGTGTGAATATTTGGTCGATACATCCACGGCCAGGTCTAAAGCCTGCCTGGTTTTCTCGGGCTTGCTGTTCCCGAGCTCCACTCAGGCGTCGGAGAATTATAGAACTTAGGATCTTAGACACTATGTTTGTCAGGCTGATTCCTCTGTGGTTATCACAAGAGGACTTCTCGCCTTTCTTGAAGACTGGGATGATCAGTGACTTAGACCAGTCGGAGGGGATCGTATTTGATTCCCATATACTGGCTAACACTTCCGTTAGCCTGACTAAGAGAACTCTACCACCATTCTTGTATACCTCAGCAGGTAGTCCGTCTGGTCCTGCTGCCCTTCCCCGTTTCAGGCTACCTACCGCTTTCTCAACTTCTTCTAGTGTTGGGGGACCTGTCTCTATGTCCCATTCAGGGTCCGACTGGATAGCGGGCAGCGCAATGGTGGCTGGAGGCCAGTTAAACTGTTCCTCAAAGTGTTCTGCCCATCGTCCCAGTCGCCTTCCCTGCGAGTGAATCGCCGATCCGTCCTTCTCCGCTATAACCTCACTAACTGTTGTTGACCATTTCCCCCCAGTCTCCTTAATAAGTCTAAATAACTGTCTACTGTTACCGATCGCCGCTGCCTTTTCCATCTCTTTAGCCTTTGCTGCCCACCACTGTTCACGATCGTTGCGCAGACTTTTCGTCAGTTTATTTTTAAGTTGCGCTCGCTCTTCATTGTACTCAGAGCCTGCAGGGATGCATTCACGTGCATCCATTAGTTTGGAAGAAGCTGCTGATATCCACTGGCTCTTTTTAGCCATTATCTTGGAGTCGGCTACAGTCTCCAGTGCTGCTTTTACAGTAGACTGAAGATGGCACCAAGCTTCTTCTGGATGAGTGACAGTCTTTTGTTCCGATAACTGCCTAGCCAACTTCTCACTGAACACGGCTTTGGTGTTTTCGTTGTCCAGCAGAACTCGTAGTGGTTTTGTTGCCAAATTTTTTCTACGTCCATTGAGACGCAGGCATATACGTGCTCGGACCAACGCATGATCGCTGTCCAAACACGTACTCCAGAAGGAGCGGCAGTCTTCCACCGATCCTCTCCAGCGATGACTAATAGCAATGTGGTCTATCTGTGTCCATCGCTGAGTCGAGCTCGGTGGACGCCAGGTCAGACAGTGCCTTTCTTTATGTCTGAAATTTGTGCTGGCTAAAAATAGGCGGTTATCTGAGCATAGTTGTAATAGGCGATCACCGTTATCTGTACGTTCAGCTGGGATTCCGAAAGTGCCACCTAAGTGCCTTTCTGCCTCACTCAGTCTACCCACCTGTGCGTTGAGGTCACCTGCAACAACCACTACGTCCGAACGTTTGGCTTTCGAGAGGAGGTTAGACAGTTTATGGTAGAACTCGTCCTTCACTTCATCCGAACTACAGTCAGTGGGTGCGTAAGCAGAGATTACAAAGAGACAACGGCGAGTCTCACTATTCCTTTTAGTTCTCACTGTGCCGTTCAGCCTCATAGCGCAGAGGCGACTATCAACTGGGATCCAGTCTAGTAGTGAGTTTTCTGCCCTGGTGCTTAATGCTATACCTACACCTGCAAGACCACGAGAGCTAGCTATCGAATCTCCAGAAACTCGAAGGGTGAATTTTGCAGATTCACCAGATTGGTCAGGAGAGGTCAGGTGAATAACCACACTTGGGTCCTGTATGCGTGTCTCACAAACACAGCACACATCCATGCCCGAGTTGCTAGAGTCTTTGCCAACGAAGCCTGTTGGCCAATTTGACGGAGGGTGCGGACATTGAAGGCTCCAATATGTAATTTGGAGCGTGGTTTAAGGAGACCAGGGACACTGTTCTGTGGACTCAGATCGTTGTCGAAGGCTGCAGAGGTAGGAGAAATTGAAGATGATGCAGCATCATTAATTAAGAGACGTGAAGGAAGATTAGAAGGTAATGATGGAGGAGGAGGATAGCAGTCAGAAGAAACTTGGGTGCTGACAGAGTTGTGAGGGCGGTTGACACTTCCCGGCTGCCCACACCGTGGAAGGCTATTTCTTCTTAAGGTACCTGAAAGAGATTTGTGTGACCGCAGAGCCCATCGGACATCTGCTTGAGGCCTGTCACACCCAGCCTTTTGAGTATGATTATTTTGAATTTTTGTATTTTTGGGGCCGGATGAGCGAAAGGAAACGACAAGTGAACCAACACCGCCGGCCCGGCAGACCGTGGGGCGTGGTGGAGTGTGTTATTTTTGGGGCCGACCTTTTCTAACCCCCCCTTCCACTGAGAAGGCAGCATCAGCTTGGCACTGCTGGTCATCCAAGGGAAACACCTTACTGCTGTCACACCCCATCCAGCTAGCAGCAGTACGACTTCGCCCTCAGACCCCCATCATAGTATAGCAATTTACACTATGACGGTAACTGCTTTTCGTCTAACCACTACCCAACAGACCTTTCTGGTATGGTAGGACCTCGAGGGAACAAGCGTTCCACCAGCATAGCTCGTTGGGTCATTGTGATATGCAAGCCCGACCACCACGTCAAGGTAGCAGCTATCGGTCAGAGCAGCTATCGGTCAGAAAGACTTCTTAAATAAACATTTGATCTCATCTTGAAAGCAAGCACGCTAAAATTAAAGAGGCTAGTTTCCTCCGTTTATTCGGATACAGAAAAAAGCCGAAATGGATACATAACTACTACAGCCCACATAGGTACATTGAGAAAAAAGCAATCATCTATTTTCACTCTTTCACACTCCCTGACTAATATGGTAGGCATGTATTAGTAATTAGTTTGATACATACATACCGACTGATAGGTGCTACCTTGAGGTCGTGGTCCAGGTTACACATTACAATGATCCGACGACCTATACTGGTGGGACACTCGTTCCCTTGAGCTCAGGACGGTTGGTTGGATAGAAGTAAGAAAAAATCAGTTACCGTCTTTGTGTAAATTGCTACATTACGGTGGGGTCAGGCAGCGAAGTCATACTGTTGGCCAACTACAGCTCTCTGCTTGAACTCACATTGTTGTTTAAGGGTTTACAGAGACTTTTCATGAGAATTGACGACAACTAGTGGTGTCCACCAGGGATGCCCACTATCACCGTTCCTATTTAACTTCGTCACAGATGTACTAATGGACATAACGTTAGGTACGTCTGACTTCACACGGACTGCAGATTACCTGGTTGACTTAGAGTATGCAGACGACATTGTGCTTCTAGGTGAAGACGCTGACAAAATCCAGGGTCTTGTGAACGCGTTGATCAACAATCTGAGTGTGTTTGACTTGCATTTTGCACTTTTCAAATGTAAGATGATGCACCAGGACTAGTCTGCAACCACTCGCAGTTTGAGGAACAGAGGCAGTGGTGGGATGCGCCGACCACTACACTCACTTAACGAGTTGCATCAACCTACAGAACAGCTTGACATTTCAGCTCGGATGCAGAAGGACCGTTTGAAATCTGCTAACTTGAGTCATCTGTGGCCTCGACAGGTGAGATATCCGACTATCTATCAAAGGACAAGTATACTACGCTGCAGTTCATTGTCATGTTATATGGCTGTGAGATATGGCCGTTAAAAGTAGGAGAAATAAGGCGGTTATAAAGTGTCTTCGCAGCATTGCTCGTGTGAGGTGGAATCACCATATGAGCAATGTTGAGGTCAGACGAAAGGTACTAGGCAAGAGAGACAAGTGGATTGATGAGGTGGCTGGGACACGAGTTGCGCATGCCGTCACCGCCTAACTCGACGTACCATGCTACAGGAAGCTAGATTAAATTGAGAGAGGGTTTAGAGTGGCAAGATCAAGACGCGGCACCAGTCCATGAAGTTCCCAACTGTTCGCCTGAGCCGTGTACGGAAGGACAGAGTACCTGGGTGGAGTCACTAAGACCATAGGAACCAGCGGTTGGAGACTCCTGGTCATATGGCTGAAAATCAGTCACAATGGCACAGATGCATTCACTTTTTGACGCTTTCTAAGGTTTGAACATTTTCACTAACCCTCATTTTAAATCTCGTTCTCCTATAGACTTTTGTCTGTTTTAAAATCAGTCTTTTTCTATCCAATTGTTCTTTGGATACGACTGTGAAACTTGATAACTTGAATCAGTGCACTTCTGTGAAACTATCTACACTGATTTTGTCTTTCTGTCGTTGGTTTGATGTCAGCAACCACCACATAACTGTTAGTGCTGGTAGGCGATAAACACTTACCCAAACACCCTGAACTGTTTTTCTAATTGGACCAGCTGTCTCACTTAAGCACTGCAGTTACCTTCTGGTATGACAATAGTTGAAAGTTTCACTTTCTGATAAGAAACTGATGCCTTAAAGTAGCTGAGAGACTATACCAACCACACCTTAATGATGAGGATACTAAGGGTGTTTTCAGCAAGGTTCTGGCTAGACAGTCATCGGAACAGAACAACATCGTCCACCTAATGAAGCTTGGCACCATCTCAAGTTTGTTGTAAAAACAGCCCGAAGGTCATAACTACCTCTCAGAAAGTGACTAGAAAGGGCCAGTGAATCTCATCAATTCCTTCTGAACTAATAGGTGCACACGAACACATTACAGCTGGTTTCAAGCACAATGAGGAACAGAAGGAAGTGCGATGCAGATTGAAAAGAATTCCACGGAATGACTGTGAATAGTGATGGGTAGCGAAGACTGAAAGTGATGGGTAGCAGTAGACAGTCATTTAGACTTATCAAGGAAACTTGCGTAAAAAAGTCGAGTTAGACTATAGCGGAGAAGGATGGACTGAGATTCACTAACGGGCAGATGACTGGAACGCCAAACGCGAACAGTTTAACTGGCTTGCAGCTACTATACCGCTGTTCGTTATACAGTCGGATCCCGAATTGGACAGAAGTAAGCCCTCAAACTTATGCAGAGGTTGTGAAGGCTGAAACGAGGTATAGGATTAAGCTCCGGTGGGCTATTATCGGGGTATTTACGGACAGTGGCCAAGAAAGAGGAAAAATCTCCCTTTGATTATCATTGGGGAGGGGGATCAGTCTGGGAAAATAGCGCCTACAGTCTTACGTTCGACATCTAAATGAAGCTTGGAAAAAGCAAACTTAAGAAAACCAGGCAAGTCTCGGACCTGGTCATGGGTCATTTAAGGTACCAGACAAGCACATAGCCCTGTTGAAGACTCTATATTCGAGCATTCGTAGGCATATTCGATTCCACTGTGTGATATTAGATGAGTTGTGTACGTCGTGTGGTGCGTTTCAATGATGTTTGCTCTTTCTATTCTTACTCAATTTTGTCAGATCTACTTACGGAAGTTTCACTTTCCTCGTTTGACTTTACAGGGACTGACCTATTCACGGGGAACTTCTTAGTTTACCCAGAAATCCAAATGCACTCAGCAATCCTGTGCACGTTTATGATGTAGGCAATAGGGTATGCCTATTGTGTTAGGGCTATTGATGCTACTTGATTGCTGAAATCTCGGTACGTGAAGGGGGTTTAGAATTCAAGACGCTGTTTGGAAGACAAATACCTAGGGCCTATGAGCTACAATTTCAAATCACTTAGTCTTCTAGGCACCTTATGTGGCAATCTGAAAATTTTTGGGATGCGTTTCTCACCACCCACATGCAAACTGTTGCTCCAAGACTGGTCTCAGTTAGTGATGAAATCTATAGAAATGAATCGTCCAGCTTCGAAATACCAATTTGAGAAATCACGTTGATTACAGCTTAGTTATAAGTCATCAAAATCTAATCATGGTAACTCGAAAAGACAAGATATAATGCTGAATAACAAGTATGAAATCAAAATTTGAAATGTGACACTCGTATTCAAGGTACATGGGATAAAAAATAGTAATCCGCCAAAAATGAATGGATACTTCGTGAAAAATAGTATCAACAAAATAATGACAATAACAACGACAGTAACACTATATCATCGCAAGAACAAATTATTGGTCTTCAGTATCGCCAAGAAATTAATCCTACATGTGTATAATTCTGGTTACTAGGATTCATCAGAAAGCAGTCAAAAACGACACACTACAATTAATAAGGTACTTGGGAGCTTACATCTTTCTGAAGAACGAACCGCACGAAATCTCGAAACTCATCTGACCAGTTACCTCCGACTAGTCTCGGGGCATCATTTGAAGCAATTTGATAGAGCGCAGCCATTGGATTAGTAGCACTGAAGTAAGGGGGTTCCAACTCCGCTATGAAATTAAAATGGGAAAATAATGAGGTATTGAGCTTTAAAGAACTTCGCTGCAATGAAACTATTAACACTATGCAATCTCGATTTGAAAGAATATAGCTGAACATTTTCGTCACTTCCATTTGTTCTGAATAAATACGACCTAGTGTAAACGGGAACAAAATATATGGATCACACGGGCATTTTCGTCCTCTACATATGTTTTATGTGTCTTCGTATTTCAACGAACTTATCAGCCAGACAGTATGTGTAAACGGTTTATTCTAAGTCTGCAACCTAGAAAATGTCAAAGCTGACTCAAACTAAATAGCTTAGAAACAAGAATCCAGTCATTTTAAAAAGGAGAAAAAAGGACACTAACCTACGCTTACAACTTTAATGTTTAAATTTAGAACGATTGAGTAATGAAGTAGAGGACTAGATATTCAACCACCACTCATAGTTGACGCACCGTAATGTGAGTGGCTAGGCAACAGACTCTGCTGTATTTGCAGATTAATTCAGCACATGGTCACTCTGGCATATCAATGTGGGAATTGACATTAGTGAGTAAACGTCCAAGTCGCCACACCTCACAGTATCGCATAAAAGAAAAAAGCAACAACAGCTAGAGCAAAATGGAAGTAATAAAATAGAAGTTATAGAAAGTCATAGAACAAGAGAGGGGTTAAAGTGAAGAACGAAAAGTAACAGTCGTTACACTTCAGAGTTTCCAAAGTGAATCCTAGAGACACAATTCAAATAAATAAAAGGTCGTGAGTAAGGCTAAATACGTAAGCTGAAAGGGGATTTTTAAGAACAGATACTTTATGGGTTGTTTTTTTACTCTGCTTAGCCTTCAATGATAAGAGAAGTGTCCTATGAATAAAACTGTACTAGCACAACGGCCGGCTTTGAAAGCAGCGATGAGCAATTTTTTCCTGGAAGTATCAAGCACAACAATTTGAAAGCCGGAGTGAATAATGCCAGGGAGAAAGAAGCAATTTGCGGCGCTGTGATAAGTGGGAGTTCAAGTCGAATACATATCACAAATAACAAGTAACCATTGGTGGCCGTGGATGAGGACTTGTCCCTGTAAAGCGAAATACAAAGCCAATAATGGATCATATTACCATTAAAAACAGTGATTGCAACCACATACAGATTTTTGAAGCAGGCTTAGTGACGATCTTATCGTGAGAGTGCTGATATCACTAGATTACCCAAATTTAAAGCAGAACGAGTTTGAGACCTGTAAAACATTTTCAAAGTGCTCAATTCACTTCACGATTGTATCAAAGGTGGAGTTTGGTTGACTAGGCCACGAAACACCTGACAGAGAGAAAGACATTTTACACATAAGACCTGGCATTACTGCGCTACGGTTCAAGCTGTCACATTTAATATCAGTACATCACACGAGAATGCACAAAGATGAAAGATAAAGAAATAAAGAAGAATCGGTCAAAAGTGGTAGGAAGTCAGCAAAAGAGAGTAAGGAGGAAGGAGTGAATACAGAAATCCAGTATGACGATTAAGATGAAAATAACGTATGAACATATCTGCATCAGTGACATCGATTCTGAGCCAAATCACCTAGTCTCAAATCACTGATTTCCGACCTGGAAGTCAACATTTCTTTACGCATCTCCGACCAACAGTAAATCTTTATGGACTGATAGCATGTATTATTTTGGCCACCTCTAACCTTATTCTAGACAGAACGTCTTTCAACTAACATTGCGACTATACATGTATAACAAGTATCCTGGTCACCTTAGTCGAAGAAGATTTACAACCTAATCAACTGATTGTCGTCTTCTTCCGATAACTCTACGTCTGACTTCTACATGATAACGCCAGGATAAATGGTCTATGCTGTGAAGGAGGCGGTATTTGAACATCTGAAGCCTCCTCAGGTCCTCCAGCTTCAATGGCCATGTTTTAAAGCTATATAGTAGGACAAAGCGAACTGCAGTGTAGTACATTCGATCTTCAATAAGCAACCTGATATTATGGCGGCATCGTAAAGAGTGGAAGCTAGTGGAAGCCAAACAAACCTTCTGTATCCTTGCAGAGATTTTGTTGGTCGCTTACTCACGAGGGCTGACCCGACTTCGCGAATAGGTGACGGGGTCAACCCACTCAACTATTTCACCTCTTGTTGGCAGATAGGGTACCAATGAAGACCAGTTCTGGAGCAACAATTTGCATTCGGGTGGTGTGGGACATCCCATTCTCAAACTGCCATTCAAGGTGTTTAGAAGACTTTCGATTTTTTCAGCGTTTTCACCTAAGAGAACTATGTCATCTGCGTACTCCGGACCTTCTGAGGATTCTTGTGTGATGAGACCAATTCCTGTGCAGATGACGAAAGGGAGACCTCCGTAGGGACGCCTACGACAAAGTTGAATAAGAATGGAAAGTGCATCCTTGACAGACACCACTCAATGTACACAGCTCACATGAAAATAACATAAACCCTAACACTCTCACGGGCGTTTGAGTACAGGGTTGTGCACCTACCTAGTACCCCTTTCAGTTAGACTGCCATAAGACCCCTCGATCGACAGAATCAAATGTCGCCTTCAGGTAGAGAAATACCGCCAGTGTCGGGCGTCGGTGTGTCTGCGTTCTAGGACCCAGTGGAGAATGAGTATCTGGTCTACACACCCGCGGACAGGTATGAAGCCCAACTGATTTCCTCAGGTTTAATATTCTCAAGCTCTCACTAGTCCTTGACCTTTTCAGCCAAGTTTCCTTGATAAGTCTAAATAACTGTCTACTGTTACCCATCACTTTCAGTCTTCGCTACCCATCACTATTCACAGTCATTCCGTGGAATTCTTTTCAATCTGCATCGCACTTCCTTCTGTTCCTCATTGTGCTTGAAACCAGCTGTAATGTGTTCGTGTGCACCTATTAGTTCAGAAGGAATTGATGAGATTCACTGGCCCTTTCTAGTCACTTTCTGAGAGGTAGTTATGACCTTCGGCTGTTTTTACAACAAACTTGAGATGGTGCAAGCTTCATTAGGTGGACGATGTTGTTCTGTTCCGATGACTGTCTAGCCAGAACCTTGCTGAAAACACCCTTAGTATTTTCATTGTCGATATGCAGTCACGATAATCTTGTTTCTATAGTTTTTTCTAAGTCCATTAAGGTGCAGGCATGTGTGTGCTCACTGATCAAAGATGTGCTTTAAATTGAGCGGCAATCTTCTATACACCCTCTCCAAATGATGGGAGTATGGTTATTATTTATCCAACGTTGAAGTTAGTGGATACTATGTTAGACAATGTCTCTATATCTGCTTATGCCGGCCAAAAATATTTTAGTACGCAATTGCTGTTACCTATTCGTTTGACAGGGATTCCAACGGTTCCATATAAATGCCTTTCTGTCTGGCTCAGTCTACTCGTGCGTGCACTGAAATCACCAGCTACGATGTCTGAATGTTTGGTGAAACAGTTGATATAGTAAATTATCCTATCCAGTGTCTTTTATTGGTTTGAATTGTTGACTTTCAACTCAGTAGGTTCGTAGCCCTCCCACACCTATCAAGATTTGAATAGCCTTTCAGTTTAGTCGATTCTCAAGCAATAGGTGTAGTTCACTGTCTAGCATACAAACCTGGATTCGATTACAATTCATTCACATTTCCATAAAAAGACAACGCAGTCTTAGTTTGGTGAACCACAAATCAAGTATAGACAACGGTTGTGGCTCAGTGATTTAGGGAGGTGGTCATCAACCATTGGGCCACGGGTTTTAGCCCCTCTGTATCTACCTAGGTTTGGGTACCCAGGTAGTATTACTAGCCATTACACAACAGATGTGGCCCATTGCCTACTGCACGGGTGTGCATAAGGTTGATTGTCTTTTCTTCTTTCTTTTTGTACGCAGCGGCGACTGTTTTTAAGAACTCCAAAATAGTTAACTACTATCAACTTTATGATACCACCTGGATGTAATGGAATCAGGTAATAAGGATAGGTCGGATCATGGATATATCGACTGACTTAAGAGGTTAAATTACGTTACGTAACTGTCAGGTACTACATTCTTCATGAAAGGCTTATGGTTTCAAAAAGGATATGGTTAGGGTAGAGAAATTGAGAAGTCTGAAATATTTAGACGGTCATACTTTGACAACCCAGTGAAAGTATTAGAATAAAAAGAGAGTCTAGTAGATATATGGAAGGTATAGATTAGAAATCAACAAAATTGTTTATTTGGGAAGCCTACGTATTTTGAACTCTTTTCTTCGCATATTAAACGCATGACTGATACATAGCAACATTTCCATCAATCCGATCAGAATTTTTGCTTCTTGTTTCCCTGAAGCTACAACGCCAAGTAAGGGTTTTCATATTAGTTCGTGAAATATGTTCACTAAAGGTCAATGATAATATCTGACCATAAAAAGAGGAGTGAACCGAATAAATCCAGAGCCCATGAGTGGCTGTGAACCAATTATGTATCCTATAAAGTCGTAGCTTTATACACTGCAGAAAGTGAAACCGAAGACAATCAGATAAAGTTTTTCAAGTTACCAAGGCGTATCAGTTCACCACATCAAAAATCTTGATCACACAATCTGTCGTTACAGATAATTGACTCCAGCAAGATCATGACAATACTTCAAAGCACAAACACTAGCATACCACATGACTAACTCCAGAGCCTGCTTCGAAAAAAAAGAATGGCGTTCCTTAAGTTTTGTAGTGAATGGTTCCATCAGGTATGTACCAGATTAATAGTGGGATAAAAACGATGCTGCGGACCTGCCCCTCCCTGGCTATGCAGCCTATGCAAATTAGACCTAAATGATGTTTCTGAAGACACGAGAGCATCGCGGACATAACAGACTAAAGTCTGTAAGGAGAGTGTGAAGCTAACGAACAACGAATCCCAAGTAAGAAATGTGAGCGGAGGTTAAAACGTAACAAAGGATAAAAGCTCTGTATCTGAAATTCTAAACAGAATGCAATCTCTTAGAACATGAAAACCCCAACAGATTAAGGCTTCTAAAAAGTATGCTCATGACCATCTGCCTGGAACAGAACTCCAACACCTTCAGGAATCCACCCTGGCAGTGCACTCATAAAATTAAGTGGGAGGATGAAAGTGTCCACACATGCCTGGTAGAAGTGGCGTGAGAGAACTGTGATGAATAAGAGCTCGTCCACAGTAACCCACGAAAGATTAAGAGTAGTAACTAACGTAATATGTCCTGAGAGGTCGTCTGAGGATAGGATAAAGAGATGGCAAGTGATGGCTAGACTGAAAGCTCGTGTTGGGAGATGTAGACTGCCTGGTTGGGGTCCTCAAGGTGAAAAGAATCAGTGGTTGAGGACTCAGTGACATGGCTGAAAACTGGTCACTATAGTACAAATATATTCACTCCTTGACATATAAAACTTGAATGTTTGCACTAACCGTTATCATCAACTTGTTTATTCTCTCACAAAACTTCGTATACTTTGATATCACTCTTTCTATCCACCTGTTCTTTGTGTACTACTGTGAAGTGTTGCAACTTGAGGTGATGCCCCTGTGTGTGAACTTCTACGTTGATTTTGTCAGTCAGTCGGCAATGTAAGGGGGGAAACCTAAATAAATTTAGGTTTCCGGGTAGTGAGGTCTCAGTAGCCGGTGTTATAGAGGTCAGTATTCACAAACCAGATGTCTGTGCAGACAACTAAGTGGTCTACTGCACTTATGTCTGTAGTCTTAGGAATAAATATACGAACCGGGTAACTTAGCTAAATGCCTGAAACCAGATGTAACAGTGATCGTTAATAGCAGATGTGGATATCTATCCGCACATCCCAGGTCATGCACGTATTAAGATGGACAAAGTCGCGGATCTTAAGAGTGATGGTGTAATCCTGTTTATTCACGAGAAACTGCAGACACACTCGAACACTTCTGAGGAGTATTTTAGTGGCGCATGTGAGACCTGGTTACGAAGTTAGGTCTAAAAAAAGAGTTGTGACAATAGTAATTCCCATAGTTCGAATTATGTTGCCAATGGCTTTGCACCAAACAATATTAGGAAGTGCAGCATTAGTAACAGATGTCTGGTTGTGCGGGACCTATATGTACCATGTTAACTGATAAGAGCTCACCATCATAAAGTCAGGTAGGTAGATACATCGATCCGTCACTGACTGCTCTAGAGTGCGCACTCGTTCAGACTGTAGTATCTTCCATGTTATGAATAAACGAATGAACCGTCAGTTTTGGACTCAGCCTTCATACATCGTGTATGTGACCCTAGGTTGTTTATGATCCAGGATTTGATTTTTGACCTGGTTCCTCCTTGCCCAGTCGCTTGGGGCGTGTAAATATCGGCGACTAGGGATCATGCAGTTTCAGTAGGCTAGTCTCTTGATGTTCAGTAGAGAAAACTTGAGAAAAACTCAAGCATATATTAAATATTGTGGCATCACTGTTTTTTTCTTTAGTCTACTTCTTAAAGTCCTTATGGACCCCCTGGCATTGACAGGCATACTCAACGGGTATTAAAATGGAGGAAACGCCTATGGGACTTATTCATAGGAAAAGCAGTGAAATATTTGGGCTGGAATAAATGTAAATCTATCAATGTACGTCGTACAGTATACGACATGTCGTCATTGGATGGTTACTTGAGCTGTTCTAAACCGCTGTTCCTACATGTTAAGAAAAGGACCAGTCAGTCAATCAATCAATATCAATGTAGGATCAGGCATTACTGCATAAGGAGTGAAGAGATCCTTTTCTAACTACTCAAGGGTAACGCGAAAGATGGAGTGATATTGGATCTTGCTAAGGCGGATAGTTTACTTTACTACTTTCTTTTAAAATTCCTGATGGGACTCTGGATACTGGCGCTGTTACTAGTGCTCCTTCAATGGAACCTATTCAAATCAGCAAGGCTGACCTTCGACTACTCAGAAACTTTAGGCCTGGGAAGCCACCTGAGCCAGGCAGACTACACCTTGAACAGTTATTCAACACATTATCTCAGGTACAGCACACTGATTTGAAGGATGCTACAGTTAGTCCTACGCTTAGAGGAAATAATAGACAACCAACCACCAGCTACCAAAACTGTTAGTCTTATTAGTATCGTGGCTAAGATGATGCAGACGATATGTGATAAGATACTAAGGCACTCAGAGACAACCTACTGACAGAAGTAAAATGGATTCCGGGCTGAACGTTATTATTTGACAAACCTACTTCTGGTGAGGGAGGGTCGGGTTAAGACGGGACAATAAACTCCTTCTGAATGTGTTGTCTTCGGCAAAATTCTTGATAGCGTCACACAGGGTTGATAAAGGAGCTTTGCAAATCCGGTACTGACAATCAGGTTCAAGAATAGATTAGAGGAGATTTACATGAGAGAATGCAGAAAGTGAGTAGAATACTATCCGGGTAGCATCCTGTCACCAGTGGTGTTCCCTGGGACATTTTCCCTGAGCCGGTACTATTTTTTTATGCTAGTGAAAGATAAAAGATGTTTGGGTTATCATCGTTGCTATTCGCTGGTGTCAAAATATGGATGGCCATTCATGATGACAACAAGTCTGCACTCCAACCTGAACATGATGAGCTGAATGACTAACTGACAAAATCAACGTAGAAGTTCACACACAGGGGCATCACCTCAAGTTGCAACACTTCACAGTAGTACACAAAGAACAGGTGGATAGAAAGAGTGATATCAAAGTATACGAAGTTTTGTGAGAGAATAAACAAGTTGATGATAACGGTTAGTGCAAACATTCAAGTTTTATATGTCAAGGAGTGAATATATTTGTACTATAGTGACCAGTTTTCAGCCATGTCACTGAGTCCTCAACCACTGATTCTTTTCACCTTGAGGACCCCAACCAGGCAGTCTACATCTCCCAACACAACTCAGACCGACAGTCAGGAACTTCAACTGGTGTCACACCATCTGGCCACCCTGAACCCTTTCAACTTAGGCCAAGCAAGTCGAGGTAGACAGTAGCTTGGCATGTCTATCTTAGTCGACTAAGATTCACAACTATATCGACTGACTTGCCTATTTAGCATGGTACCGTTCGCTTGACCTCAATGTTGCTCACACGGTGATCCCACCAAATACAAGGCGACTGGATAGTCCAGATAATGGAGCCTTGGAATCGATTCCATTAAAAGCATGTCAATGAACATAGAGAGTGAGTAATCTGGTGGCTACTATGATAATAATGGACTACCAGTACTTTCAGTTTAGTAGGAACAGTTTACAGGTTATCGGAGGCAAAAACTTGGAAAATATTGCAAATTGTCATCCCTCTGCAGCTTAAGCTTTTCATATGCTTTGGCGGCCTCGTAGAGCGTTCAAACGCCTGGATGAATGTGTTAAGCATCCTATGCCCCACGTATAACAGCCTCAGAGTCGAAATAGAATCGAAATAAATTCAGCAACCTTGTGCACATTCGTGGAGTAGGCGATTAGCCACATCTATAATGTGACTGCCGGTGACACTATCTGGCTGCCCAAACCTCGATGAGTTGGGTGATGCTCGAAACTGCAACCCTCTGGTTAACGGTCACCTTCCTAAACCAGTGAGTAGCAACTCCCTATTTAGAGTAATGTGTCAAGACATAAATTTGGCTCCTTCTCCGAAAAGTAGCCGCTAACTTATCGACAAGCATTGTGCAGCTTCCCCTCAAAGAGCGACTGAGAAGTCTAGACCCTTAAGCCTTCCTTGTGGTAGGAAAACAGGTGGTCTGATTCTGACCTTTCGAATGGAGTTATGGTTTTCATAATCTCTTTCTAAGTTTATTAACCTTAGAAGTCATCTCAAAAAGATCAAAATACCGCGGTTGAATCATCTTCGAGTAGGGTGGCGGTTGTCCCGTAGACTAGACGACGGGGACTCCTCACTGGAACAAGTGATAGTAGCTCCTTCAGACTTAAAAAAAGTCGGTCTTCATAGAGATTACTACTAGGAGGATCAACACAGACTAATAAAATTAAATGTTTTTAGGTTCCAGTACGTTACTTACTAACAATTATAAGTCTAGATAGTAGAAAAAAATACTCACCCATTTCAATGCATGTAATTCCAAGAGACCAGACATCTACTCTTACGTCGTATATGCCTTGTTCCATTGCCAAAATGACCTCTGGGGCAATCCAGAATGGTGTTCCTACAAAGCTGTTGGCTGGGCTTATGAAGCTGGCTGACCCGAAGTCACCAATTTTAACCCCACCGGAATCAGTAAGCAGGATGTTGGCTGCCTTAATATCTCGATGAATCCTTTTTTCGGAGTGAAGATAATCAAGACCAGTTAATACTTCCTGAACAATACAGGCAATTTCATCTTCCCGAAGTGGCTTTTTGTGCACTAATAGAACAGTTAAACACGAAATATAGATAATAACTTACCCTCTAGAACGTCCGCAACAGAACCAATACAATACTCCATGACTAACTATTTAAAAGGAAAGTGTTACGGTGTATGACACACTTACCCATGGAGTTTGCTCCTTCATGTAGCACCCTTTGGGTAGGACACAGTTCTTATGGGAAAGGTGTGAGAGAAACTTTATTTCCCTGACAATATCGTTCCACTCTTCCTCTGACTTTTTACGCTTAGTATCAACCTTTAGTTCTTTGATGGCAACGACTTCACCCGTTGTACGATTTCGGGCCTGTATGGATCAAAGAAAGCAAAGCGTAGGCTTACATAATAGACAGCCCCGAAGCTCCCACAACCAATTTGCCGAAAGTCGGTAAATACAGTCGTTGGATCATCATGACTGAAATACTTTGACAGCTCAGGGTCTTTGAAAACAGATGTTCTGAGAGACTTAGGCATTGAGTTCTCATTCGTTTTGAAAGCGACAAAGTTCTAGACTAATATTATCCAGACTCTTAAATAATAATTCTAAAAACCCTAACGATGACTCAGAAAATGAGAAAGCCAAACACTCTTAGAAGTATCAAATTCATTATGACATGTGTTTGGCGCGTTAATGAACAGACATTAGGGTATGCATCTGGTATCACTAAACGCATTAATGGTACACAATTTTTAATTGTGTATGGAGAACCCTTACAAATCCTTGAGTTTCACTACGTTTAACACAAAAGCTACCGTGGGTTATTGAATATTGAAAATCTGCTGAAACTGAAGAAATGAGCCATCAGTTTTCAGTTTCAGTTCTCAGTCATAGGGATAGTAGGCCAGTTGGCCTATCTTAATCCTTGCAGAAGATATCTCTGTGAAGATCTAGTCTCCCCTTGAACGCGTTGACAGAAGGTGCTCATACTACTTGGTGAGGTAAGAAGTTCCAGGCGTTGACAACACGATTGGGGAAAAGCGCATTCACGCTAAGTTGATTCGATGGCGGTTTTTGAATTTTCTTGTATTGTCCTCGGAGATAGTCGGTCCTAGGAAAGGAGAAGAGATAGGACATGCCAGTACCGAAGTCATTACTAAGGATACGAAATGCCAGTATAAGATCATCGCATCCTGTACGGCAAGACAGTGGGAATAAGTTTAGCTGATCTAGTCGTTCCTCACAGGATAGATTCGAAAGGCCTGCCACAAACTTAGTACCTACCCTTTGAACACTCTCGAGTGCGTCAGCATCCTTTTTTAGGCATGGGCTGATCGCCTGGATGCAGTATTCCAAGTGAGGCCTGCTGTAAGTGGAGTAGAGTATCCTGTGTAGGGACCATGATAGGTAGAAGCCCCTCGCTGCGGCTACATTACAGTTGGCCGAGGTTTTCAAATCATGATTAGTGACGACACCCAAGTCTTTTAGTCCAAAGACTTGGAGTAGTGGTGTACCATTGACGGAATACTGGAAACAATTGCTAAGACCAGTGTGCATAGTTGGACTTTTGTTAGGGTTGATTTCCAGACAACAGCTTTTGAAACAACCTACTAGGTTATCTAAATCCTCTTGAAGTTAATACCCATCTGCATCACCGCGTATGGCTCTCCAAGTCTTCACATCGTCAGTGAAGACCGGTATCGAAGAGTTGAGCGCTTTTAGCAATTCGTTGGTGTACAACAAGAAGAGCAATGGACCTAGGATTGTTCCCGGAGGAATTCCGGGTTTCCACCCGGATAGTATCCCATTTACCCTTACTCTTTTCTCCCCACAGTACAGAAAGTCCCTAATCCAAGCTTCCAATGAAGCACTGGACCCTAAAGAGGAGAGCTTTCCTGGTAATTTCGCATGCGACACTTCGCCGAGTGCCCTAATGGCATTTATTGGCAACCTGCAGTCACAGGCTGCAACCCATTCCTCTTTTGCGATGAGGAGGTTAGTTAGACAGGAGCGTCCAGTACGAAAACCGTGTTGTTACAGCGCCAAAAGATTAGTCGATTCAGCATGTTTGGGTAGCCTATCAAGAATTATTTTTCAATCCCCACTGAATGCGCGATCCCCCAAACTTGAAATGTTTGTGTGCCATACATTAGGTCTATGGGAAGCAGTATCGCAACCAAACTCATTGGTACGAAAACTAAAGGTTGGCACTACATGCTCACTGTTAGCTAATGGAGGGAAGTGTCGTGGATCCAAAGCATATCCACACTGATGGGTTAGAACTGAATCTAATAACGATGGCTTGCGTTCAAAACTGTAACGTTACACGTTACATTTTGAGCCGAAGCAGATTCTGAAACCATCAAGAGCAAGTCATTTTCGAAGCATCTGCCCGATTCTGAGATTGTTAGCTCCGTCCAGTTTATGTGCGGAGAATTCAGACCCCCAACTGTTAGACATCTACTGCTTATACTCTAGTTACGTACATGGTTTGGCACAAGGGCATTTGCAAGGCAGGATGGACCATGGTAAATGGCCGCGATAGTACAGAAACTTTGCTTCGACTTCAGCTCAAAACTGGCCACTTCATAGGTCCCGCATTCATGTGCTTCGGGTGGAACTAATTGCGTCTGGACGTCACCCTGGCCATAGAGTAGTATGCCACCACCTTTGAGACCCACAACCCTTTCTGTTCTCTTACGGTGATACCCTGTGGGGAGCGGAGCAAAACCTGAATCCCTTACTTGCCAGGTTTTAGTAAGGGCTACTATATCAGGACCTAGCTCACAGATTAGAGTCTTGAGGTATGTCATTTTGCTTCCAGCACTGTGGACACCGGTGTGGGTTACCTTCACTTTGTTGGAAGAGCTCCACAGACCGCCCATATAGGTCTCGGAAACCTTCGCTTACTAGACCTCACAATCCGTAAACCCACTATCTTAAGATCGTTTTCCCCAATGGTTTGTTTAACTTCTTTCTGTACGGTTCTCGTGGGGCCAGTCAAGTCGAATGCGGATGTCTGAATTTCGTAGTTTGGATGCGATACTCAAGAGTGCATCCACTTCATCCTTGTCGCCTAAAACAACCTCTGAAATCCCCTTTTCATCAGGTTCTTACCTGGCCTAACTACTTTGAAGATGTGTACCCCTTTAGACTTTTCACGTAGAATACGTCTGATGGCCAACTCGACTAGCCTCAGGTCATAGCCGTGACTTATTGGGGCATCTCTGTCTGATGACTCCCCAACATTTCAGAGGATCACACAGGGCCTTGAAGTGGAATTCCAGAGTCGTGTGTTGACGGCCATTGCAACCTTCCCGATAGGTTTCATACGCTTAGTAACTTCAGTGATAACCTTTGGCGTGCTCTTCGAATGCTTTCTTGGAGAAATCCATGAAGACTCCCTGACCACTTTTATATAGCCAACGCTGTTACCAGAGATGCAGGCTTTTGGTGAATCCTCAGGCGTTGCAAAGCCTTTCAGAGTGCATCACCAGCTATATACGCCGGCTGGCTTGCTTAATCATCAATAAGTCTTTCCAGGCCACAGTCTTCCGTGCAATTATGCCCAAGCCCTATGTGATCCCATTAATAGAACCCCACATAAATAACGGCTCCAAAAGTGGTTCCTTAAAAGTGACAGACACTTTCAGTGGTTTCTTATCATCTTGGTTTTGGATGGCGTGGTCACTAGTCAATGTTGTTTGTCGCTTCCTGAAACACTCGAAAGCTACCTACTATCACATTTGCTAGCAGGATCACTCATTTCCTCTTACTTTTCTTCGAGATTGTGAGAAAACTACTCATCTGCAGAGATCGTGGTAAGTTCAGTGTGCGGTCTGATATTTCAATATTTTAGAGTGGAAATTTCCGGCTTTTACTTCGGCTGGAATAGGTTTGTCTCATTCGAAAGCTGTTAATCTGATGTCTAAACGATTAAATTTCTTTTAATGGCCCCTACAGAATGCTCTTCATGCCTCAAGATGCATCATCAAAGGCCAGAAAACTTGTAACCTGATGATAATGGCTGACAGGATGAGTCACCTATTTACCGTCCATGGTCAGCTGGCGAGTTAGACGACGTCAGTGGGGAGTCGGAACCTGATCCCACTTGTGAGTATGCAGGCAAGCATTTCGTTAGGTCCTATCCTTCGAATTTTCATCCTTGCAGCTAATACTGCTGCCAAAGTAGGAAGGAGAAGCAACGTGATTTCAAACGAAAAAGCCACCGACAGCGTCCGTCACTCTAGAGCTTCTGTCACAGACCCATAAACCAGAAAAAGTAGATTTTGTTAGAACACGTCTCATATATGAATGAAAATGCCTCCATAAAGCATATCTTTTCTCAACCCCCTGCTACTTTGGATGAAACAGTTATTATTCAGAAAACAATGAAGCTGGTCGGCCTGTTCCTGGTTTACTAGACTTAACACTTCCATCCCATTTCAGCTGGTGACCAGTTTCATTTCGTCAAATGGGTGCGCTGGTAAATTAAACCGCATAATACATTGTTTGACGGAGATACAGCTCAGTGGCAGAGCTGTCGACTGTGGGCCGAAAGACCTGGAAAAAACCCAGGTGCCCGGTCCTTTTTGCCACAGTAGCTGAAAGGTTAACGCGTTTGCAGTGAAACCTGAGGCCCTTGAATTTGATCCCTAGCCATGTTGAGGGTGCGAATTGCTGAAGAGTCCCATACGTTGACAAAAGAGCTGTTCATTTGCCCCCAAGTCTGAACCTTACCTGGTTGGCTGGTTCACCAGTTGCCAGCCTATCCTAAGCCCAGATAAAGAGGGAAGGTTGACGATACGGCTGGCAACCCTACTTCCTGAAACCAACCCAATCTCTGAAGAAACTCCAAGGCGCAAAGAAAATATAAAACATGAAATTAAACTTATTTCTCGCTGGGATCGAAGAGGCGAGATGACGCCAGTTGGCGAAAGCCTTCGGGAAGCCAGTTGGTCGATGTGTCTTCTCTCTCCCCCCCCGATGAGTGCCGAAGTAAGAATCGGGACATGGGATCTCCATAGTTATTTGAACCTTGCTGGTAAGGCCTCCCAGACTGCAACAGTGATGCTAGGGTATAGCACAGACGTGCTGGGCTAGGAATCTGCGAAGGGAGATGGAATGTAAGTGGACTCTTCAGACTGCCGATTAGAGAGTCAGTAATCTACTCAGATATTGTCACACAGATGACAACCACGATCACAGCATACCGGGTCTCGGAGTGGCTACCGTGATGTCCTCAACTGCATCGAAGGCTCTCATACGGTGGGAACCAATCTCCTCGACGATTAGGATCATGACAACAAGGTTCAACTCATAAGGAATGAAAGCCACAATTATGCAATGCTACGATGTGCACCTACAAATAATGCAGATGAAGAGAAGAAGGAGGAATTCTACAGATAACTGCAATCAGTACTAGACAAGACTCCAGTTGGCGACATCAAAATTCTAATGCATGTGGTGACATGAATGCCAAAATCGTAACAGACAACACAGGAAGAGAACTCATCATGGGCAGAGAACCACTTGG